AAGATTCCGCCCCAAAATAGGATAGGACTCTGCCCAAAATACGGTATGATTCTGCCCCAGGAGACGGTAGAATTTTGCCCCAGAACACGGTAGGATTCTGCGCCAGAATACGGTAGGATTCCGCCCTAGAAGATGGAAGGAATCCGCCCCAGAAGAGGGTAGGATTGTGCTCCAGAATACGGTAGGATTCCGCCCCAGAAGATGGTAGGGTTCTGCCCCAGATAGGGTAGGATTCCACCCCAGCATAGGGTAGGATGCTGTCCCCAAGGACGGAAAGATTCTGCCCCGGAAAAGGGTCGGATTCCGCCCACAGTACAGTAGGATTCCGCTCCAGAATACGGTAGAATTCTGTCCCAGAATACGGTCAGATTCTGCTCCAGAATACGGTAGGATTCTGCTCTAGAAAATGGTAGGATTTTGCCCCAGAATTAATCCGCCCGAGAATAGAGTAGGTTTCTGCCCCAGAATAGGGTAGGATTCCACCCCAAATATGGTAGGATTCTGCCCCAGGTAACGGTAGGTTTACACTCCAGAATACGGTAGAATTCTGTCCCAGAATACGGTAGGATTCTGCCCCAGAATACGGTAGGTTCCCACCCCAGAAAATGGTAGGTTTCTGCCCCAGAATAGGGTAGGATGCCGTCCCAGAATAGGGTAGGATTCCACCCCAGAATACGCTAGGATACCGCCCCAGAAGATGGTAGGGTTCTGCCCCAGAATAGGGAAGGATTCTGTTCGAGAATAGGGTAGGATTCTGCCCCAGAATACGCTAAGATTCTGCCCAAGGAGACGGTAGAACATTGCTCTAAAAGACGGTAGGATTCCACTCACAATAAGGTAGGATTCCGTTCCAGAATATGGTAAAATTCTGCCCGAGAATACGGTAGAATTCTGCGCGAGAATAAGGTAGAATTCCGCCCTCGAAGATGGTAGGAATCCAACCCAGAAGACGGTAGGATTCCACTCCAGAAGATAGTAGAGTTCTGCCCCAGAATAGGGTAGTATTCTGCCCCAGAATAGGGCAGGATTCCGCCACCAGAATACTGTACAGTAGGATAGCATTCCTCCCAAAATACGGTAGGATTCTGCCCCAGAAGACGGTAGGATTCCGCCTCAGAATAAGGTAGGATTCGTCCGAGAATAGGGTAAGATTCCGCCCCAAAATACGCTAGGATTCTGCCCAAGGAGACAGTAGCATATAGCTCCAGAAAACGGAAGGATTCTGTCCCCAAAGACGGTAAGATTCTGCCTCAGAATACGGTAGGATTCCGCCCGAGAATAGGGTAGGATTTTGCCCCAGAAAACGCTAGGACTCTGCTCAAGGAGATAGTAGGATATCTCTCAAGAAAACGGTAGGATTCTGCGCCAGCAGACGGTAAGATTCTGCCCCAGAAAACGGTCGGATTCCACCCACAATACGGTAGGATTCCGCTCCAGAATACAGTAGATTTCTGGGCCAGAATACGGTAAGATTCCGCCTTCGAAGATAGTAGGAATCCGCCCCAGAAGATGGGAGGATTCTGCCACAGAAAATGGTAGGATCCTGCCCCAGAAAATGGTTGGGTTATGCCCCAGAATAGGGTAGAATTCCGCCCCAGAATAGGGCAGGATTCCGCCCCAGAATAAGATAGGATTCCGCCCCAGACGACAGTAGGATCCTGCCCCAGAAAATGGTTGGGTTATACCCCAGAATAGGGTAGAATTCCGCCCCAGAATAGGGCAGGATTCCGTCCCAGTATAGGGTAAGATTCCACCCCAGAATACACTAGGATTCTGCCCAAGGAGACGGTACGATATCGCTGCAGAAAACGGAAGGATTCTGCCCACAATACAGTAGGATTCCGCTCCAGAATACGGTAGTATATATTAAATGCGTCCTCCAAGCGTGAAATTGCTTCCAGAGTTTAAGTTAATTCATGTACAGTATAATTCTTCTGATAAACTCCCTATGTGCTTATGTTTGAAATAATGAATGTACAGTATATACAGTATCTTTCTCGTCAGAAACGGTCATCCCAACGATTATAAATAAACTCATTTAGAAATACATCATTACTTCAGGACGAAATCAGATTGGTTTGCAACAGCCAATCAGCTGTAGCTCTTGAGGGGGTGTAGGGCATCTCTTCTCAGCTGAGAATAAATGCACTATAGTGCTGTGGTGAACATGTAGTACTAGTGTTGTACAGTAGGCTCTCGCCAATAACGACTTCCACAATAACGTTTTCGACAATAACGGTAAGTTACAATAGATACCCATTTTTGATAATGTCTGGATTCTCTTGAATAACGAAAATTTCGCAGGAAGCGTCCGAGCGCATTTGTTTGCCGCCATGTTGACGACGTAGTTGTCCACTCCGCCTCACTCTCACTCACGCTCAGTGGAATACAGCGCTGCGCCCATGTGTGAGATTTTCGCCACTATAACCAGTGGTTGTTAGGGTCGGTGATCAATAATGGCTTCCGCATTTTTGCCTGTGGGGGCTAGGGGAGGTAGTGGAGGGAGTGATTTGCCACCTGAATGACTGGGAACTTTAAAAGTGAGGAAATTGAACTGTCCTGAGTCTACAGTGCAAAATATTAAGAGGAACTTAGAGGAGACCAAGAAGAGTATTGTGCTGGCTAAAAATATTTCGGTAGTGATGGAAATGCGAGGCGAGCTATGAATGATAAAGGCAATAGAAACAGGTTGTTAGTGATAACAGAGCATTTTCTTGTGAAATGGTTAGCTTGTATAATGAAAGACAGTGCAAGTGTTAGCCGCCCTCAGATATGGAACAATCATCACACCAAGCACCTCAAAAACTAAGTGTTATATTACTCAAACTCTTTATTTTGATGATTGAATAGCAATTCTTTTTATTTCAGCTAACAAAAGTGTTAGGAGGGCTTCAAGGGGAAAAAATGGGTGAAATTCTTATGGCGGCGGCACCAATAAACCCTTTTTACATGTATTTTAATGTCACACAAATAACGTTTTTGCTAATAAGGGTGTTTTTCAGGCACCTATTAAACGTTATTGGTGAGAGCCTACTGTAGTGAACAACTGGACTTTTTACAAGAAATTAGGGTTGTTTGTGTGCAAGGAGAGTACAAGGGATCCCCAGGTTATGAACAGGTTCTGTTCCTGAGGACATTCTTTAGTCGGATTTGTACGTAAGTTGGAACGCATTCTATGTGCATACCGTACTTAGAGAACAATGTTTAAAATTATACTACTGTATATCATACCCTAAGTCTTTATACAGGGTGTTACTCATAATTCAAGGTGTGTATTCCTGAGACATAAATAAAGATAAATTACTAAATGATCAAATTGTCAATTCTCAATAGTTTCAGAGTTACAGCACATGACATGTATGGTAGGAATGTGATGAAACCTATGGTTACCTGACATAAATTTCCTTGATTTTTACCTGTGGGGTCACATAAAAAGCAAGGTGTATGTTACAGAGGTTCGCAAACTGTGAAGAATTGTGGCGCCGTGTACAGGACAGTGTGACAAACTTTTGCAACACCCCTGGGGCTTTGAACGTGTGGGACACTCACTTGTGACGGGTTGAGCCCTGCAATGAGCAAGAGGGGCAGAACTTGAACATTTCCTCTAAATGTCAATACCAATACAAATCACCTGGCATTACAGGTATTATTGTTAATAAACGTCACTAGCACAGTGTATTGGATGTTTCAAATACACCCCATATAGGTTTCATCACATTCCTACCAAGCATGTCATGTGCTGTAACTCAGAAACTATTGAGAATTGACGGTTTGGTCATTTATCTTTATTTATGTCGCAAAAATACACCCCGAGATTTATGAAAGGTATTTGTGGGACACCCTATAAACATTCAAAATCCCTTAATTTAAGACAAAAGAAGAAATAAGAATGACAAAATATAGTAAATGAAAGTAAAAAATAAGTCATCAGGTAAATAAAATGCTATAAAGTTCAAGTTCAACCTTGTGCCTAAGGCAAGTATAGGCAATCGTCATTACAGTACAGTTGGGTCTTCATTTATGCGGTCAATTGAACCCGCGGAGTACCGCGTAAAACAAATAACAAAACATAAGGGATTAATTGAAATAGAGACTGGGCCGACCCCCAAACTCCACTTTTTCCGACACAATACGTACCTTGTAGTCAAAATAACATCTTAATTTTATGATGGTATGCACACACAATTAATAATTAAGAGAAATATCAATAATATTAGGTTTTCTAACACTTACATTAGTAGAAAAGATGGTTGGGCACACGGGTAATGGGGGGGTTGGTTCCGAGGCAGAGGGCAGATTATCAGCCCTCACGTGTATCACTATCCACCACAGAGGCTTGCAGGGCCTCTTTGTCAAACCCCTCAAAGTCCATACAAGTCCATATCCTCACTATCACTGACTTGGGCCAGCTGTGGTGGGTGAAGAACTCGGTAATGTTTTGATGACTGGGCGACCTTGTGCGCACCCTGCCCGCGCCGCTTCCCGCGTAAATGACCAAATTTGCCGCGTAAAGCAAGCATTTCAATTCTGGCAAGGCACCGCTTAAATGACAAAACGCTTAAACCAAAACCACGTAAATCCAGACTCAAGTGTATTTTTACATCCAGGTCTCGGTGAAAGAGAAGAAAAACAACATTCAAAGTATGCTTGAACACTACAAAATTTATTTTGTTAATATTCATATCATCCTTAATGCCATGGCATTTTCTAAGGGATCAATGTTACATGAAATTGGGTCACATAAGATTTACAGCCCAATTAGGACAGTGTGAATGCAGCACACAGTATACCAAGCCTTTGGTATACAAGGAGGCAGGATGGTTTACACTGCATTTGATTGACCTTACTTCCAATTACAGCTGGGTGGACTGCGATGCCTTGGACATGACTCAACACCCTTAAAGAATGTAGATAAGCATGGTCTCCACTAATGTATGTAAGCACTATATTCACTCAGCTGCCTCACTCCACAAAAAGGAATTTATAAGAATACAACTGGAAACCTAAGACAGTTTATTTTCTCTAAGTTATTAATATCTAGAAAACATGGGATGTGTGACGACGTAGCAACCATGTTGGATATGAAAGTGGCACTCTAGTCAGTCCTCGTCTGCCAGGGACGTGATGCAGGAGTTTTGGCAACAATTACACCATATATCATAACATTCCTCAAGTTGTATTTTGAAAATACACAGTACAGTGTTTCACTTATAAAACGTAATAAATCAATAGTTTCATGAATTAATTTAATTTCATGTTATATTCTTGAAGTGGAATATCAGGAATGGCAAGTCTTTTCACATGAGAAATATGTAAAACATATTATGGGATAAGAACATTTTTCACAAGATGGATAAAATTTTTTAGTCTCTCAACGGAGGTCCCCTTAATTTCAATTACTCAGAATGTTAACCACAAAATTTCTTATGGGATTATGCATGCAGTGCCAACACTTGGAATGTTATGACAAAATGGATAAAATATTACTGAAAAGTTTTTTTGTTTTGTTTTTGCCTTGTTCACAAGGATTATATAGCCAACCAACCTGCTAGTTCAGTTTAACAAAGAGATGGGGAGAAAGATATTAACTATAGTTATGCACAATTTCTACAAGATTGAAAAAAGAAGAATTAACAATATCTTTAATCTTCTTTAAGTTCAATAAACTCAGACATTTAATATGACTTGTTCAATAACATTAAGAGAAAAAACACCACTTATTTTTACTTATCAAACACAGATTAGAACAGGAAATGTATAAAACAGCAAAGTAAGGATCTCCCACCATGCACCTCCTGCTAACACTAAGACAAATCACAGTGACTGTCCCCAGCAATGCCTCTTTCCTGACCAGTGGCAAACAACACAACATAATACAAGCTAGTAAATTTCCAATGTTTTAAATAAAGTACCTTATATTTCTATTGTCATTTTTTTTCTTAATTTTGTTTAGGGTCTATCACCATTTACTGGGATTTACAGGGAAGACCTCTTGTAGCCCCACAGCATCAGTGAGACATGTGGCCACTGGTCCCATTAACTGCTCTGGTGAATAACAATAGCAGGGGTACTGCACTGACTAACCACGTCTTGGAAATTATTAAATATCAATAATTTATAAACTACAAACACTATACATGGAAAATAAGAATTCTTCTTTACAAATGGTTTCTACACAATATACAAATTTGTCCTCACTGCTATCTAATGGGAGACTGGTGTCACGAAATGACATGCTACTGCTAGATAAAAGCTTCAAACATTACCCGACCATCAACGAGGTCTTTTATGACAAATGCATAAAGGAAGCATCAGTGTTCACGAAAACAACATACAACTTGTACATGACCTACAGGAAAGTCTGGTGACTTTGACATTAAAACAACTTGTCATAACCCACATAGAAGAGTGGCTGGCCTTGGCAAATGTTCACCCACAAAAAAACTTTGTTCTAATCCTCCAATTCTCTGAACTTTGAATTAATGCTAAAGAACTTCAAGCAACTAATGCTATACATATAATGTGCCAATGGTGCCTAACAATATTAACTAAGGGCCCAATAGTTTCCTACCAACGAGTCCATGTAAATGCATTGCACACGCACATGGTGAGGCACCCCAAGGATGTAGCAGAAAAAAAACTTCAGTATTAAGTACACATAAAGACATCATCTTTAAACAGCGAGGAAACACAAGCAGAACACAATGTCACCGAGAGCTTCACCAAAACCACAGCCTTCAACCTTTTCTCTTGAATTATTCCTATAACCTGAGGGAAGCAGACTGGAAATAGTAAATGTTTTCTATTACCAAATTTCCACCTGACAACTCCAACATGGCAACTGTGAGGTTGTACAGCAACATGACAATGAGGGACAAAAATATACACAACAATGGAAAAATTCCATGAACATGACAAATGAATATGAGTACATTAATATTCATATTTTGCAATTGTAACACATTCAACTCTAAATTTGTGAGTAAAAACGTAAAAATCTTTGAGATAAAGGAAACATAGTACAATAAAGTATTTACAAAATGACAGGGACCAAAGAATGCAAGTGTCTAAGTATAGGTGACTTCATTAGACACACAAGCTTGAGACTGTCATGGTCTCTGTAATATCACAATGGTAGCAACACAACCAGGCCTTGTGGCATCACAACAACTCCACACAACTTTACACATACAAACAATCACCAGGAATGATTTCAGTAGCTGAGCTACTTTCCTTAACATTTTAAGACTTGTCCAGAAAGAGAGGAAGATTTCATCACAGGCTGCAAGTGTCTCCTTACTTCTTGTTGGAGTAGACATGCCGCGGTCCTGCCCAAAATACACACAAGTGTTGAAGGCACAAATCAGTGCCACTTGGGACTGCAGGCAGGCCAGCGGTGGGCCAACCCTAGGAGGTACCCTCTTTCTCCTTGCCTGCCTTGAACAGTTCCCGTTTTTCTTGTGCAGTACGACGAGATTCTCGCTTACTGTCTTCTCTGCGCAAATCCCTCGAGTCTCTACGACCACGGCTGTCGCTACGAGCTTTTTCTCGCCCCTCTGCATGATCCTTACTGCCTCTCCTCTCAACCATTTGGCAACTCCCTTGACCACTTGGTATAGGAATGCCTTGTTGAGATTTTTCTTTGCAGCATGATGATCCTGAAACTCCGACGCCCCCACAGCAAGCATTGTTAGTCCCTGGCAGTGATCCTCTGCCTCCCTGGGGGCCCTCACAAAAATTTGCTCGCGCCGCCTCTTGTCTTTCTGGTGAATCCAATTCCTCTGGCGCCTCTTCCAAAGTGCCTGATGGAAGTGTGGGCGGAAGGCTGACTGCACTGCTAAAGCGCTGGGTAAGCAATGTGGGAGCAACTGATCGAACAACACTTGGCGTTTCATAATTTGGAGCCGACTGTGATGTTATTGTGAGTCTTGGTGGATTGTTCGCCAACTTTGGAGAAGGTGTAGCCAAAGGACTGATGGTTGCAGTGCCCTTTGCTTCCGCTGATCTTGGGTGGAGACGATCAGGTGACAGTGCTCGACGAAGTAATGGAGAACCAGGTTCTGCACTTTTGGGCCTCCCTAAACATTTTTTGGTAGCTGGTCCAGGAGTGAGAGATGATCCAGGGGAGTAAGTCTGAGTGGTATTGGAGGAACCAGGACAATGATGATGATAGTGATGGTGGTGATGGTGGTGGTTGTGGTTGTGATGGTGAACCAATGGTGAAGGGGATCTCGTTGGAGAAGCTGGTAAAGGGGAAGGGGAAGGAGTGCGTGCTAGAGGAGAGAGGGGAATGTGTCCAACTGATTTCCGTCTATTTGGAGAACGGTAACTTTTTACGTTTGTTACTTTGTGGTTAACAACATGCAACGATGAAGGGCGCTGATGAAGTGTTGATGACCCTGCTGGGGAGTTAGGCACAGAAGATGTTGGTGACGATGATCCAGAAGAATTAAGGGGAGACTGAACTTGTTCCACAGATGGAGAGAAGAGTCTTGAAGTTGGGGGCGAGTGAGGAGATTTGCAGCGAGTAGGGGAACTGGGGATGCTGTCCTGAGAGGAAACTGAGCGATTCAAGGACTGAAAGCTTCGACTTGGCGTCAACATTGGTGGCGATGCCGAAGCAGCAAGCTGTAAAGATAAATCCAGTTAAGTTAGCTATTACTATCAATCCATTTGTACCTGTAAATTCTTCTAGGAACAACAGAAGATGAGACGTTAGATAAATTACTTAACTGAAGCTTTAGATATCCACCAGCACAGAATATGTCATGTAAAACTCTCAACAATAAACCTTTAAGGAGAATCAAGATCATTAGCTACACTCAAAGTAATATTTGGTCAATCTTTATAACTACTCAAAACAGTTACAGTATATATATATATATTGTAAAATAATTCAACACAACTGATGTTAAATATCAAGTCTGTGATACTGACAGTCTTTCAAAGTGGGGAACAAATGCATTTAAGAAAAAAATTTGAATGAATATTAGTGACATGCAAGTGCTGCAGCTATCTAACCTTGTCTTACAGGTTAACCCTGAAACTTATTTTTTTATTAAACTGGACTATTTTTCATGGGTGGGTCACTTTGTTGTCCCATAAGTATTCTATTCTAAGAACTATTACTATACAGAGACGACTATATTTGTACAACAGAAACTACTCCATACACAGGCTTGAAAGTCATGTTATGTACAGGAGGACAGGATCAAACACTGATGGGTGGACACTATACTGGGTTCCACAACTGCACCCTTACCTTCCCCCAATACCTACTGACAACACTGCCAAACTTAAAATACACTTTACAGGGAAATAAGAAAGGGAGAGTAATTCTATTGGTAAACTTGATAAATCATAAATGTATAGACAAGGGCCACCTGAATTATATACCCAGAACTATTGGTGTTTGGAGAGATCAAGAGAAGCAATATTCCAATGCTTCTGAATCTAGTACAATACCGTACTATAAATACCATATGTTTTAGTGTCTGCCTTTGCTTACTAAGTTGAAAGGGAAACAACACAGCTAAGATACTGGTGGTTATGGAACACATATTCTTCACATTTGGGTGAAAGTATATCATTCCAAGACAGGAAAGCTGTTGACAATTATCTTCCCAATGTTACACTAAGGGAAGTAACATTTACTAACAAGTTTTGGTACTATATAATTTTAAGTATAATCAACTTATTACATACAAGCTAATTCCAAGGTTTTGAAATTGTCAGAGAAATATCCATAAGAGTATTCTCTCTTAAGCCCTTCAGTTGATTTTTATTTGTTACAATTTCATTAAATAATGGGGCAAATAATAAAAAAAAAAAACATAAATGCTCTCATCATATGGTTATGAAGATTATTCGTGTGTACCAACAAAAGAATCCCCACTACATACTATCCTCTTCATATTTGGTGTTGATGTCAAGTATCGTCCTGTATGTAATCAGACTCCATCACAAAGTGGTGTTTACAAAATTATAAGGGGGATGAGTCCTTACAATTCTCTAATTATTCACATGAAGGATACAACTCCACGACTGTATTATGTAGTTGATTTAAACATGAATATTCATAGGTTTATCTTATCATCCTCCCTTTTCAAAACCTCTTAAATATTTACTAGACGACAAAGATCATACGTAGTTCCCAGTGACCATCTTAAAATACCTTGCAAAAATTTAATAATTATGATTTTCAAAAGAATCCATAACCTGCTGTAAGTTCTCAGAGACACTAAATTTTATATTCCAGAGATCAGCTAAATGGAAAGACTCAAGTTTGGCCTTAGTGTTTTATATTGCAGCTACCACAAGGTGCCCCAACAGGTTTGTTGTATTGTACTTTAAAACATCAATGATGATTCTGACTCGTGTGACCATGGATGTAGTGGAAATCCTGAAATTCACCCATTGTTAGTGTCCAGGGATTTGTTAGGGTGTAAACCTGTTAACATAATTAGCTTTTACAAAACACTGAACAATTAGTTGAGGAAAACTAATATTAAACAAAATAACTGGTTTCTGCAACAATTAAACACACTGGGGAAAAACAGACTGTCATAAGCCCCCAGCAGTGAACAAACACTTGGTAACAAACTTGTACTGCCCACAGCAACACGTAATACATATACATTGTAGTTTTGTTATCATATTTAAGAGTTTTTTTAAATGGAAATAAAACAAAATTCTGTGTAAGCATAGACAAGAGGGCCTCATAAGACCTAGTGTGTTAAGGCCCCTTCAGATTAAAATCTTACATACACTGTCACAATACTAAAGTGAGCCTAATAGCTAGTCAACTACCCTTTGTACAATCTAATTTTGAAAACACTGCAGTACAGTAGTCAGAGTGGCCAAGCTACAGATATAATACAAGACAATATTTTCAAACCTTGCTTAGTATGAGTACATATTTTTTGTTCCATTGACCCCTTGTAGCCAATTACCATGAATGCACATAACTCTTATTTGCTATTTTGGTTAAATTTTGGAACCCATATGAGAATTCAAGCACAAAACTTAAATAATCACAGGTGTTGACAGATAATATATTGTACAGCATTAGAAAACAAAATGAGAAAAAAAAAAAAAAAGAAGCAGCAGCCAATGGTCAGGCATGGTTTGCAAACAGTCGTCAGTGATGAGAGAGAAGTAGGATACAGGCAACAGAACTAGGTCAGGGGCTATTGCTGCAAGAAGCACATTATCGTACCAAAGTAGTTGAGAACTGAGGCACAAAATCAGGAGATAAAACAGGAGCCGACTGAGGGGTAGTCAGCTGCAAAAGAAATGGATGAAACGATAAAACATCATTCCAAAACAACAGAACTTGTCTCTAGTAGTGGTGAGTCGTGCACCGTACTCTGATGCTGTAACACAAAACATGTAAGTTTTAACACAGGTGTAATTAATACTCCTCATACACCTCCCTGCCAAACTCTATCATGGCAAAATCTGTTTAAAAATAAATTCATATACACTTCCTAATGCTCTGTAATCTCAGGTAAAAAGCTAAACCATAATATTCTATGATTTAATTACTCAAAAGTTTCCAAACACTACAAATTAAACCAAACAAGAGTTAACAAAAAATATGAAATATCAACATATTAATTCATTAACTAAACTTGATAGAACATTCAAAGAAATTAGTGAATATTAACTGATGGTAAAACTAAAGAAAACTAAAGTAGCATTGACAGCGAACATAAATGTTGCACATTATTGTATATACGTCCAATCTGTCTGGGAGCACCGTTTACTGTATTGTACACAACTTGGTTTTGTAGTAAACTTGTGCTAAAATGAGTGATCATCAACACACATTATTTACTTTTCCCACTAAATAAGTTCTTCTATTATGGGCTACACAAATTTGATTACACAACATTCTATTTAAGTAAAAGTGCTAGAATTCCCCTTGTTCTTTATACCGAGTTGGCTAGCCAAAGTGAAATGTTCAGTCAACATTATACAGTATTTGATATTCAGACCCCTTTAACCACACTACCTCACTCTTTATTACATCACTTCAAAATTCCTTCTTACGTCTTTATTACTAGAACATGTAGCATACACTTTGACCCTTTTTGGCCTGTATTTATTTTAGTACAGTTTTCCCTGTATTGTATGTTAAACTTTCTTTATGCATCAAGTTCAACCTTTATATATACTGTACATCACTCCCTCTACCATTACATACCCTTCTTCCCCCTTTTCTTCTTAAAATATGATATGAATAACAAGTTTTGGGAAGAGGATAAGTCCTCAAAATGTAACAGGTCTATGCTGGATACAAGCTTATGATGGGTTGAATGGACAGAGAAGTACATATATATCAGCTGTGACTGCTTATGTAATACAGTCAACCCTCGCTTTACGCGGTCCCACATTCCACGTTTACGCGGTACCCTGCCGAAACCAGAATGCTCACATTCCGCGGTGCGTGTACCCCTTTACGCGGAGAGCGGCTGGCGAGCCGCGCCATTTTTGGATCCAAACCTCCCGCCATCTCTCCCGCCCTTCGCCATGTTGTGTAAGCGGCGCGAGCAGGGTGCACACAAGGTCGCCCAGTCATCAAAACTTTACCAAGTTCTTCACCCGCCACCCACCACAGCCGGCCCAAGTCAGTGATAATTATAGTGAGGATATGGACTTATATGGACTTTGAGGGGTTTGACATAGAGGCCCTGCAAGCCTCTGTGGTGGATAGTGATACAATTGATACAAGTGATACAGGTGAGGGCCAATAATCTGCCCTCTGCCTCGGAACCAACCCCCCCATCCCCGTGTGCCCAGCCATCTTTTCTACTAATGTACAGTAAGTGTTAAAAAACCTAATATTATTGATATTTCTCTTAATTATTAATTGTGTGTGCATACCATCATAATATTAAGAAGTTATTTTTACTACAACGTAGGTATTGTGTCTGAAAAAGTGGAGTTTGGGAGTCGGCCCGGTCTCTATTTCAATTAATCCCATATGTTATGTTGTTCACTTTACGCGTTTCTCACTTTCCGCGGTACCCTGTGGGTTGAATTAACCGCGTAAAGTGAGGGTTCACTGTATAGGAAAGACATGAGCTTGGAGAGTTGTGTGTCATGGCAGTGAATAGTCGTAATAAAATTATCTTGTGTACAGCCAACAAAAACTGTCAAAAATACAAGTGAGGAAAGATAATCTGTATAAAGATATTCAATGAAAGGTTGACGGCTACTATGTCTTGATGAGGTGTGGTGTCCTCGGTTCAATGAACATCAAGATGTGGATGCAAAGGATATGATATATAGTACTTGGCTTTGTATAATTTCTCTCATTTGAAGGATGAATCCAAGATCATCATTACAAACAAGTCAGTTACCCTTCCAGTCCTATGTTCAGTCTATTTTTTGCATCCCCCAAGCCTATTTTTTTCTTTGACGAAGAAAAAGAAAAAGAAAAGAGCTTTCTAAAATAATAAATATACTGTCATGTTAAAAGCCATTAAAAAAATCGTGGTAAGCCACTTCAGTTCCTTTACGACAGCTTGTTTATATCCATGAATTAAACTTTATCATCATCATGTTCTGTTATATCACCATTTCCATCATAACTGAATATTTCTTCCCATGTTGCCACACATTTACATTTGTATTTACCACGTGCACGGGTATCACTCTCGTGGCTGCCACCTGTAGAACTTTGATGGTTAATTATTACTGCTTCTAACATGTGGCATCACTACAGGTATCCCCCGATCTGTGATTGAGTTGGGTTCTCGAAAAACCCATCGCAGGTCAAAATATCACAGACCGGGAGGTTGCTGATCAGTCGGACACTCGCCTGTATCACCGAAAACATAATTCCTACACCATAACTGAACAACACTCACCACACCATATTGAACCAGTCTGGTCATCATCACTTGTTCTATTTGAGGCTAAGGGGATTCTTGGAGGTTGAATTGAGATGTCACTCATACTCCCACACAGCCTCGGGGAAGTCTCATGCCTCTTCTCAGACATTTTCAAAGTTACACTGCTCACTTCACAAAAACATTATACAGTAATAATGATGGGGACTCAATTCTTTTATGAAAAAATGTAAGAAATGTTGATACCAGAGTCTGCAAAAGCAGTTCTAATTAAGTTAGAAACACCATTTTTCTACTAAAATAATCCTGAATGGTTTATTCAAAAGTTTGGTGAAATAAATACATCTGAGATATGATGAAGCACTCTCAAAATGGTGTAACGCATGCTACCCCGGTGATTGACAGTTTAAGCAGTTGAACTGTCAAATTGACCAAAGGATGGTTTGCAAGTGGAAGCTATTCCTTGTACGTATAATAATATATACTATAAGGAATAAATATAAATCATTCTAATAAATAAAATAAAAGAAAAAATACCATATTGTCAGTTGCAATAAATCCTCCTGCTACAATCTGTGGGTCCGTGGGTGTTATAACGACCGCACTCGTAAGAAATGTTTATTCCCTTTATGTTTTTGACCTTACAGTACAGTATGACAATTATTTCTTTTATTTTTATTGGCACAATCTGTATGAATGATTGTGTATGCAGGTAACAGAGTATAAAAAACAAACAAACATAGATCTACCCGAAAACACGATATGAAAAATAACAATAACACAGCTGACTCACGCTACCACCAGCGGTCCACCTGCTCCACAACAACACAGCCAAAGCACTTTCCATTCAAAAACAAACAAAAAATCACTCGGTCATGAAAACAGAGTATAATGTGTACTAATTAATGTATTCTCACTGTGAGAAAACAAAACAAAACACCGATGATGACCGATAAACACAAGTGACCAAGAGGAAACAATGGTTGGACTGTAGTTCACCAGATGGCCACAAGGCAGTGTTCGAGTATATGACTCTACTGCTGACAAAATTTAATGCAGTAAGTGATGCGTTCCATATTCTGAGTTGGCAGGATAATGAATATCATTAATGTGGGTTTGTTTATATTGCAAATAGGGAAGTAATACATGAGCATCATTAACGCAGATCATCGCAGAACGGGGAATACCTGCACATGGCTGCTCCAAAATACAAAAAAATGGGACGGTAAAATTTAAAATTCATCGCGCATAGCCAAAGGTCTCTGGTCCCAGGTGTACAAGGCACAGTACATCAGTAGCACCGAGAGGGCTAATGCACCATATAAATAAAACAGCAGACGAGGGCCACGTACACTCTTTCAGGCTCCTTCCCATCCCATGCATGGTGGCCACAAACAAAAGCAAACAAGCACCCTTCATCACTATCTGCCATGCTCGCTCTCCATTTACTTTACTCTTGCAAACTGCTGCTGCTGCTTCCTGGATGTCCAGCCCCTCACATCTAGTGCCTCCTTTCTCCATATCCTTCTTGGTCTTCTCTTCCTCCTAAATTCACTCTCTGACATACTGTAGTTGTGTTTGTATCATTTTTTTTATTTCCCATTCACCCAACATATCTATACAATCTTAACAGGTCTAGATTTCCTCTCTACCAAAAGATTGTATCGATTCCCCATATCCATCTTCATTATTTCTCATTCTCTGCATCCAATTTACCTCGCATAAAAGTCTACAGTAGGTTATTTCTGTTACTTTTAATATACTGTATATGTATATACAGTATCCTGGCTCAGGTTCCTGTACTTCACCTCCTCCAGGTTTCTCTTTGAGTTTGTTGCCCTCCCAACTCCAAATGTACTCTGGGAGAGATAAGTAGTCACCAAAGTGAAAGTATATGTGTAGTCCCACAACAGTTGTTTACCATCCTTCCAGGAAAGTAACATAATTCTGTCTGGACACCTGTTGTAACGACTGTAGACCTGCGGTTTACTGTGTGTTGGGCAACCTGCAGCTGTCAGAATCCTGTTGTTGAGGTTGTTAAATTCATTATGTCTTGTGTGCCAACCCCCATAGACCCCATATGCAATGGTGTGGTTGCTGTGTTGGTTTGCCCACTCATTTCCACAGATACACTTGTAAATGGTGTGGATAGGTGCCACAAGACAAAGTACTACTCCACCAGGTTGGGTCTGGGGACTGAAGCGAGTACCTGAGGAAGTTTGGGGTGGCCAATATCAAGTCCCCAACGTGAGGAGCAGCACTCACTGCCTGCGAACGAGCCCTCTCCTGGTCATTTATGGAGATGCAGCTCCTCCCCGACTTACGACAACCTGCACTTACGACCTGCCTCAGTCGTACCAAAATTTTGTCAAATTACGTATTTTCGAGTCCCAACGTCAGTACACAGACAAAATTCTCATTTGTAATTCACTTTAAAATGGCTGGCAAGCTTAAAAGTGAGAGTTTTGTGGTGCTGAGAAGAAAAAGAGACACCCATTTTAGATTTTCTATGTATTATTTAAGCATTTTCAACTTACGACATGGAGTTGGGTCCCCAACCCGGTAGTAAGTTGGGGAGGAGCTGTACCTGCATCCCTCGCTATCCGAATAATTGTTATCTGAAAATTTGCGTATGTGAATATTCTCTTCTTACACCTGTTTTAACTATTTGATGATGATATTCCCTTATTTGAATGCTGGTCCAATTGAATAATCAAATCACGTGCTCTAGAAAGCCTGGGAGACAGCTGGGGAGGCCACTTTGGGCCCCAGATGCATAAGGTGGTAAGGTACTGTAACATATACAGTGGTCCCTCGGTTAACGAGCGCCTCGGTTAACGAGATTTCGGTTAACGAGTTACCTTCCATAAGATTCTTAACTTCGGTTAACGAGCAATCCCTCGATTAACGAGTTTCTTACAAGCCGACCTGAACATGTTTTCGCTTGCATTTGGCGGTCCACCAGCTGTAGTATTAGTCCACCAGTACAGTAATCAGTTCTAGGGCTTACATTCCTTACCATTTTAGTAAATATCAAGAAGTTTATACTATTCAATAATCTTTAAAGTTTAATATTAAATTTTTTAGTAATTTTAACAATTATTGAACATGCCATCCAGCCTGCCAACACACCATACAGGCGTCAGTCTTTGTGTCTTTTCAGTGGAGGTAACATCTTGCTTGAGACTCTCTTCAACTAAATGCTTATTTTTTGTGTTTGCAAACAAATTATTGGTCATTTTGAAATTTATTTTACATATTGACAATATATAATGCAGTGCAGTGTTGATTTAAAGAAAATAATCTTGAATTACACCAAGAGAACTAAAATTTTATGGGTGAAATGGCACCATGGGGTGACTTCTCTTCCACCCCAATGCCTTCTCTTCTCCCTTCTCCTCCACCCCCATTCTAATTCCCATCATCATCATCATCATCATCCAGGAGCCTTCTACATACACACCTCAAAGTGTACTTTTTTACCTTTTTTGTTGAATTTAGGCAATTTTTGGTGAGCTGGAACCAATTACCCAAAAACCCATTGAAACAATGGTTTCGGTTAATGAACGACCTTCTGGAACGGATTGAGTTCGTTAACCGAGGGGTCACTATACGTACTTTCGAGTCCCGACATAAGTGATCGCGCTGTGTACTGACAAAATTTTCGTTTGCGATTCCCTTTAAAATGGCTGGCAAGCGTAAAAGTGAGAGTTCTCGTGGCGCTGAGAAGAAAAAGAGACCCATTTTAGATTTTCTATGTACCGGGTATTATTTTTGCCTTTTCGACTTACGACCTGGTGGTCGGGACGGAACCCCGTCGTAAGTTGAGGAGAGACTGTATATATATATATTAAATAATAAATAAATTTGATCAAGGATAGTTGACCAAGCCATGAGAGGCTTGTTTCCAGTAGCCCTTATGCCAGCACCATCTGGTGTTCTTAGAGCAAGGCAGTCGGTCACCCATCCAAGTACTAACTAGACCCAACATTGGTTAACTTCATCGATTGGACAAGAAGCGATGTTTCCAACGTGGTACTGTACTATGGTTATGTTTTTGTTGGTATTTTATACAGTACTATATTGTATTTCATGTTATTCTTTTCAATTTCCAAGTGTTTCTGTACACACACACAAAAATTCTTTTAAGAGGCATGATTGTGAGAATCATATGAAGTTATTTGACAATAGATATTGAGTATTGTAATTACAAGTACACAAATAAAACTGAACACAGCTTCTAACTTATGATATTTTGATAAGCAGGAACACCAATAAGAGAACTGATGCAACACAATTAATGATTACGTATGGAAGATCAAACTCCTTCCTTGTGCATGAACCACTGCACGCTTGGCAATAAAATGAGTACTGTATATACCATATTAGGTGGTCTTGCTGATGGCTGAACAACTCTGGTGAACTGAGGGGGTAAGTTAACCTATTATCTCTTCAGTGCTAAGGAGTACCACCTGTCGATCCTCAATGCATCATAGCAAGAAAAAATCTTTGAAAAAATCCACAGATGCAGCAGCAGGATGGCCACAATCAAGTCTCTCTTAGCCCTGTCATGTACTCCCCTTTTAGCGGCTGTGATAGATATTTTCTGCAATGGTAGTCCTCTTGCACGACAAGACCTAGGGTTTCCTAACGACTTTCCCATCACTTCATAAAACCCAGCCTAACACATAACCATCACTTATATTGTGTATTTATTTATAGCATTGTACAACCTGGTCAATGGTCAAAATAATTATAAAAAGTAAATGTGCACAATACCCTGTCTAGTCTAGAGGTGAAATGACAAAATTATTTGTTAGCTTTGTAAAATAAAGTTGAGAAAAGAAGCAGTTCTGAGTAATGTATTATACTGTACATATTAATAAAACAGATGTATAGAGCCATTTGCATTCTGTTAATATATATCTAAGTTTAATGATGTTAATCAAAAGGATATTTTTACAATCTAATTGGTAGGTATAAAGTTATCCCTAATCTAACAATATTAATAATAAAAATTTCACCATTAATAATAACCAGTAAGTGGCAGAGGAAAGTTTAGTTTTATGTGAAGCATCGTTCCTCCTGGTTATCAAGTACTGTACTACTGCTTAGGAAAGAACGCAAGACTCTTGGACCTCACCTGTTGAATTTCAGCAGAAACGCGCTTGTTGGAGACTTTCCGGAAGAGAGAATTTTTCCGTCTTTTGTCCGAGTCTTTCTTTGTCCTCCTGTGTTTGGCAGGCAAACGCTTGGCCAGTTTTGATGCTCCGGGATTTCTTTTCCGTCCACCTACACGGCAGAGGATAAGTGTTATTCTATGGAAGTAACGGCTAACAAAAATTTTTGAAGACAACAGTATTTTATACATGAGACATACTTGTATACTTGAACATATACAGCCATACATAAAGTAAATACAGTATAAAGTACTGAACTGTATTACAGCTGTAATCAAAATACAGTACTGTACAGGGGGTAGTCATTGATAATGAAACCATTTAAAGGGAAATTAATTTCCGTAAGAATTACAAGGAATAGTGTCTAATTGGGACCATCACATTGCGACACACAGTTTAATTTGGTATCTTTTAATATATATATATATATATATATATATATATATATATATATATATATATATATATATATATATATATATATATATATATATATATATATATATATATATATATATATATATATATATAATATATATATATATATATATATATATATATATATATATATATATATATATATATATATATATATATATATATATATATATATATATATATATATATATATATATGCTGATAACCACAAGGAAACAAGAAAACACGAAATTCCCAAGCGCTTTCGTGTAATTCACATCTTCAGGGGTGAGTACAGACTAAGGAGAAATATTTGACAAGGCTAATATATACAGTAGCGGAGAGTGAGATCAAGTCCCTAGGGGACAGCAGGGGTCCACAATGCTACGGTCATAAGGCAGTGACCCTTACTAATCTTCTAAATCCAGAAAAATTTACCATGCCATCTCTAAGCACAACAGCTGTCTGTAGTCAGGTCATAGGGTAAGATGACCCAACCTTCTCACCTGGTTACAAATCTTCTTAATCACAAAATTGTCTAGTTTGTACATACCATTACTCAAATTCATGTTGACAGATTCGGTATGTTTAGTGAGACTGGATTCTATAATGTTCCTACTGACAATTGAATTACAAGGTAATGTTGAGGAGGCATTATCCCAGTCAATGCAATGCTTATTATCTATCAAGTGAATTTCACGAAAGTGCTTGGGAACTTCGTGTTTTCTTGCCCCTTATAACACCATCTGTGAGGGAATTACTACACCACATCAGGCCCCTCATAACACCATCTGTGAGGGAATTACTACACCACATCAGGCCCCTCAGAACACCATCTGTGAGGGAGTTACTACACCATGTGATGCCCCTCATAACACCATCTGCGAGGGAATTACTACACCACATCAGGTCCCTCATAACACCATCTGTGAGGGAACTACTACACCATGTGAGGTCCCTCCTAACACCATCTGGGAGGGAGTTATTACACTTCGTGTTTGCTGTTCAACACCTGCATTAATCTGTATGTTGATTGTATGTTCCTTTACCTTTCTCTAATGAAGGCTTTTGTTAAACCACCAATGTATGTAATAAGTCATTTATGTCCAATGTAGATTTTCAGCCTTCGGGCTGCAGAACTTTTTCAATAAACCGTTAATTATTATTCTTATTAAAAACACACACACACACGCACGCACGCACACACCAGCAATTAACAGGAACCAGATGTACTTTATTGTTGTCTGTTAAATTCCCTTATTCATATAACCACACTGTGCAGTAGTTAGCTGAACTGTCATCACTTAGTGACTGGTCACAACTAGTGTAGTGTTGACTTCAAAATTTGGTTCAGTTCTTCTTATGGCACTATTAAATAAATACAATGTAAACTTATATTTATTAATATACTATATATTGTACACTAATATAGACGTATGTACAGTATCGCTTAAAATCAACATGTAATAATTATAAGTTCATGTAAATGCTGTACTGTTCTCACCTGCTCTGATAGAGGTCTGGTCAAGTGGCATGGACCTGAGAGAGACGTGGTCGGTAGAACTCATTAGTAGAGTGACAACTTGGGTATGGAACATGCCTTGAATGGGTTCTCCATTAATGTGAGTAATTAAGTCCCCAGGGCGCAGACCAGCTTCAAATGCTGGACTACGTTGGTCAACATCCTGTGAAACAAAGATGAAAGTTCAGTTTAGTTTATATATTAATATAAATATTAATACTTACTGAGTAAACAAGTCACTATAATAAAAGAACATGTAATTTTATTGCTAAGCAAGTTCCTTTACTTTATTTATATAAACCAAAAAATTTACTTAATTCAGCTACACGTGCCAATATTGCCCTGCACTTACCATCACCAAGTGATGTACAGTATAATAGTCAGAATCCCCAAAGTAAACCCTAATGGCTCGGATAGTAAAACCAAAGCCCTGTGGACCTCGGCGGATGATTGTAGGAGGTTTTAGGGAGTTGACAAGAGGGGAAATTTCCCTGGAAGGTGAGGCATCACGAGATGAAGCAGTGCTGGACCCTCCTGGAGACTGTATGGGCTGAGGCACGCTATCTTCTGGAAGCAAGAGAAAGCTATTTTAGGCTTTCACACTAAGGAAAAAAGAATATAAAATACTGTACCCTGTACGAACTTTATAAAATTCTTTATGTAAAATATTCATGATGAGGTTGAAATGGTTAATTTTTTCTTCAAAATTTGCTATTTCACAATTCTACATTACCTTTTAAAGACTTATTTCCTAATTTAATGTTTTTTTGCTACTTCCTCTACCCCTTGAAATAAATTGTGTGGCATCCATATACCATAAATATTTCCTGTGCAATAAAAGGTTTAGTTAAAATCTCTTCACAAAGTTCTACTATTCTGTCATTATAGAGGCAGTCTTTATCCCCTCTTGGTGTGGAGGAATTTTACATTTCAACATAAACTGAACAGACCATCTTTAATACAAGTCTTCACAACATGAGTTATCCATTAACCCAAACCCCAGTTATCAAATGGGGGTGTAGCGTGGATGGTTAAGCTTCCACAACTGATATATGTAGTAACAAGAATATTATAGTGAAGGACATCAAGATTGGAAGGAGGACAAAACAATTACTTCCTGTTGCCTATAATTTTTTTCTGACCAAACTTCTTCCCACAAAAATTTTCAAACATGATGCCTAAAACTTCTTCCCTGCCTTCATCTCCTCCTCAAGCTTGATCTCCCCGATCTGGTAGGTAAACCAGATTACCCGCCTAGTTACAGTGATTCTTCTTTAACCTTTGGAATAAATCATACAATCGTGGCTCTCAGGACGATGGCATGGCAGGGCTTATGACCCAATACTGTAAGGAAGAAGACAGATAACTTACCTGAAGGGATCATCAAGGATAACCCAGACGCTGAAGCACTTTTGATCACTTGACGAGTTCTGTGCTTGAAGGCCGGTGATGAAGGTGGGATATTGACTCGAGGTGTAGACAATCGTTCAGACGCTCCCGGCCGCTCATCAACTGGAGAGAGCTCGCGCAGGCTCCCGCTTTCCATGCTGGGGAAAAGCAAACTACCGTGTCTGTCATCTACCATACTCACTCAACAATATTTGTTATGACCATTACACACTAAAGAACATTTTTCTAAAACAAAAGTGGTACAAAAGATCACAAACAAAATAGTTTCATAAATAAAAATACAATTAACAGTTTGGTTTCATCTTTTCACTAAAAAAGAGTAAGCCAGAGTCCTATAAAAATCTGTTGTTGTACATTTTTTGTAATAAGTTCGACTAATATTGTGTTAATTCTTATCTTATGCATTTTTGGCACACTAAGCACAGGTGAGTGTTATCCAGACTCAAGGATCATTGACCATATCCACAACTCAGAGTAGAGAAGGTCTGAAGCCAAGCCTGAAACACTTGACAAAGGGTTTGGCTAGCATGCAGGTAAAGCAGCTAATGCCCGTGTGTATTCTAAATAAATAAGAATGTGTGGAAAAATTGAGGATTGCCTATAGGTTTTAAGCACTGGGCATTATTCCAGAACAGAAAGATGATGAATTACAAGGATTTATGAAAAACATATACAGTAAAGCCTCCGATAATGACGGCTCTACTAACGACGATTCATATTTAAGACCCTGGTTAATTTAGGACCCAATTCAATTTACGCCATTATTTTCTTCGTATTTACAATGAAATTAGAAGAAAAAAAATTCATTTTCATACAAGTAATAACTAAATCCCGATATTTATTATATAAAAAATAAAACACGCCTTGCGCACGGAGGCTGCCAGGCTTGTGAGTGGTGACGCCAGCATCACTAGTATAAATAGTCACAGCTGGCAGGCCCTTTGTTTTCACGCATCTGAACAGGAAAAGGAGAAAAACATTCTCAGGTTTCTTACGGCATTTTTGCGTCTCTATTCAACATGAGCAAGTGATGGTAGTGCTGGTTCAAAATCTAATAAGTGTATAACCTTAGCCGAGAAACTAGATGAGTTAAAACAATATGAAAAAGGTGAGAGGACTGTGGGTATTATAAGGAGCAAACAATGAACATATTTTCTGAAGTGGATCCACGAACAGAACAAAGCATTAAAATTAAAATAAATGCAAATGACCTCTATATAAAGATGTATAATGAGAAAAGAAAGCAGCTGTGCAAGGTTCTTTTGACAGCTTTATTAATCGAAGGCCTAAACCACCAACTTCAGCTACACCATCAAATTCAGCATCATAAGCAGCTTCAACAACAACTTCAGGTTCAGTAATGGTTTTATGGAAACCTACAGCTTCAGCCAGAGTTGAACCTACAGCTTAAGCCACAGTTGAACCTACAGCTTAAGCCACAGTTAAACCTACAGCTTAAGCCACAGTTGAACCTGATGACTTCATCATCTGAGCAAAAACTCACACATCATCATTGGCTGCCCTTATGTTTTAGACTTTACCACCATTGGTGAGTAAAATTTTTGTTTTACATTAGTAAGTATTATTTAAAACATATGTGAACAGTAATAAGTGTAGAGAAATGACGATGTTTTCACATGTACGCACTTACATACGAGGAGTTCCCAATTTATTTTGTTATTCTTTACTGTTAACGGTTAGCTACTTCTATTTTTCCATTTATTAACATTAAATAACATTAGTTAAAACATATTCATTTTTTACATTAATTTTCCTACAGCAACAATCAGTCTTAATTTCCTTAGTTTCTTATGTAGAACCATCGTCACGGACTCACGGGTGTAAACATTAACAAAAACAGTGCCGTTTTGTCTCCTCTTGTGTGTTTTAATACTCTACATATTATTAATGAATTGTATTGTTCATTTCCCATATATAAAGATAAATTCAATCAAATGCATATTCAGTAATAAACAATAATGAATCTTTTGTACATATTCTTTAGATAAATGACGCGGTATCCTTAAATGTGCACGTATATATTGGCGTTCCCAATCCATCTCCCTTTTTTCTTTGCCATTAATGGTTAGCTACTTCTATTGTTCCATTTATTAACATTAAATAACATTACTGTACTTAAAACATATATACTAATTTTTTTTTTACATTAATTTTACTACAGCTACAACCAGGGTCTTATTTTCTCCATTTTCTCATGTAGAACTATCGTCCTGGACTCTCGGCTGTAAATACTAATGAAAACAATGGCGTTCCATCTCCTCTTGTGTGGCCATATTATTATTCATTTATATTGTATAAGGTGCATTCATAAACATTATTTAAAGAATATAGTTGGCATTTTTCATAATTGTATTGTTTTGGGGGAAAAGAGGGTAAAAAGCCACACAAAAGATATGAAAAGGTCACAGTTGGGAACGCATCTCATTATTATTGCTTTATTTTAATAGTAATTAATGATTCACGAAACAATGATTCACCTTACACTGCAATATTGGAGGACACATTACAGTCGCTATTTGAGGCTTTACTGTATAGGAAAGTCGTATAAAACAGAGTAATACGGTACCAAGAGAGACAGAAAGAAGATGAAGTACAAGGAATTATTCTTAGTCAGAAGGGTAAGTCTGTGGCATTTAACCATTTTCACTCGGTCAAACCATGGAACTCTCTGTATTTGTGCTGTGTTACGAGTGCCGTGGTGTGTGTTACGAGTGCCGTGGTGTGTGTTACGAGTGCCGTGGTGTGACCGAGTGAAAACTATTAGATGCCACTGTTGGGTCATGCGATTCCTGATAACTCTCAGGATTATGTCAAGTCTTTCTGTAATATTAGGCTACATTTATACACAATATTAGGTACCTAACTGATAATAGTTATTCGGGTATGGGAATTATTTAGGGTTCTCAAATAAAAAAAAATCACCCTGTGTATTAACAACTCTTGATATCCACCCTTGAATCTCAGCAAAAGTTACCAGTGACATCATCCAACCTCCCCTAATGTTTGGCCCCAAGGTAAGGCGACTCTCTGTCTGGGAGAATGACAACCTATGATAGTGGAAGCTGTCATGAAGGATGGTGACTGTCCTCCTTTCTCACGATAACTGATCTTTACTGGCCACTAGCCCACGATGTGTCTGACAGTACAACTCATCTTATAACTCTAAAATTATGTTACCTTTTATACCTCCTATTAGTTTCTCATTCTCTTCCTGATTCTCCTTACACGCATGCACCCCCCCACACACACACACATTGTCTATTCATTTATACTGCTGTAAAATAATAGTTCCAATAAGGTATGTACTCATCACCTAAGCAGACCTGGATTCATTCTACCAAACACTTCTTTCTCTTTCACATTTTATTTCTGTATTTTGCATTCCCTCTACTTATTTATCACATATGTTGCTCTCAAACACAGCATTTCTATTGTTCATTCCTCTTACACCCCAAGTCCAAGGTTTGTGCCTCAAAAATAATAATAATAGTAATAATAATAATAGTGGTTCAATCTCACTATGCTGTATAATCTCATCTTTTTCTCTGTATATTTCAAAATCCACCCATTAACTTTCTATTCCTTAACTACTCTCTGGTTCATTGTATGTCTTCATTCCCGAACAGTAAAACCTCCATATAACGGACTTCTCTCTCCGTATAATCCGTCAGTTAGGGGGATTTCACGAGTAATAGACCCTAGATATAACGGAATTTCGTCTCCACGTATAGTCTATTAAATAAAGGTTTCATTGTATCCAACACCTCCACTCCTACGTCTCTGAAACACTATAACACTTTCTCTTGTCTGTCACCAATCAGGCTAACTTTTCCATCTCCATGTATCTCTCTTCTCCCTTTATTTTAATCACTTTAATTTTGTCCACAGTCACTAACAACATTCTCCTAGTACAGTAAACAAACATGCCGTAACTTTTCTTCTGAATTATCCACTGTAAACTGCAGCCGATTCACTTCCAATTTAAATCCCACACCATTACTCATCAAACATGCATCTCTCTTCAATACTCTTACAACATCCTCATTTCAAGTAGTATCCCCTTGGCCATGGGTTAGTCAAGACATCCCCATCCTCTCCCTCCTGAAGGGAGAGGGACACCACACAAGAGTCCTCCACCACCACTCCGTCCTGTGGACCGTCGTTGACACGAGACTAAGCGTGTTAACCTAGGTTGTTATCCCCGTGGAATTATCACGTGTGGATGCCTGGTTGCAACAAGAGCAATCCAGGCTGGCCTATCAAACCTACAGTAAATGATTAATCAATTCACGCTTAGAGTTCTCCTGCATGACATCCGACTACAGTGACCGTGATCGACACGAGACTAAGTGTGTTAACCTAGGTTTGTTATCCCCGTGGAAATATCACGTGTGGAAGCCTGGTTGCGACAAAAGCAATCCAGGCTGGTCTATTGCACCTATGTGGTTAATTCAAGTCAAGGTTACCAGTTCTCTTTGCCGCGACAACCGTCTACGGTGACTGTCAGTGACAGGAGACTACAGTATGTGTGGTAACCCAAGAGTACCTTTTTGTTGTTATTGTCCGTGGAAAGAAGTTCTTGTGATGAAGCCTGGTTGCAACAAAAGCAATCCAGGCTGGCAGTAAATGTATCACTTGAAGAATTAAGGCTCTGTTAGGTCATACCCACAGAAGAGTAATCACATGTGTCCCAAAGTTGAAATTTCCCTCTTTTAGAGATTAATTTTATACAGCGTGAACGTGAGTGACTCGTATATCCATGCAAATTGTAAATCATTGTATGGAAGCTTGACAAATAAATGTAAGTGCAATTATCTGCCCGTATCTGTGATCCTATCTTATTATTACTAAAGGTAATGCCTGATTGGTTATGACAAAGTATAACCAATAACTGAGATGGATGTTGAAAATTAATGGAACTCATTAAATCATCATTTATCAAGTATATATCATGGAATGTCGGGCGGTGGGGTGAACTTCTACGTAGATATGCCATAATCTCCTGTAAGTAACCAGTGTGAAGGTATCGAACTCTACGGTAAGAAATATAAGAAACACAACATATTATAATCTTTATACAGTAGTACCCCATTTTTACGCGGTCAATTGAACCCACAGGGTACCGCGGAAAGTGAACAACAGAACATATGGGATTAATTCCAATAGAGACTGGCCCGACCCCCAAACTCCACTTTTTCCGACACAATACCTATGTTGTAGTAAAAATAACATCTAAATTTTATGATGGTATGCTCACAATATTAATATTTAAGAGAAATACAGTCGCCAGGTTAATGTCCATTCAAATAATGGACTCAAATCCCCCCCCCCCTCTTCCCAGCTCACTAGCTCCTACCTCTCTGAGAAATGATTAGGTGAAAACACTAGATTTTAACGTTTAGTAATAAATAATACCTCAGACTAATGTTAGGATAATATAATTGACATTTCTGGATTCCTTGCTGGTCAGGGAATATTTTGAATGTAAACTTCATATATTTTGCACAAAAGATAAAATATTTGCTTTGTGTAAACCAAATTATTACATTAGATCTAAAATTTGTATGTCAAATGCAAAATCCATGATGTTTATATTCAAAATGATCATCATATTGTAAGAATTCCAGCAATGTAAATTATATTCTGGCCGGGTAATTTGTATGAATTTTATGAGCTAAATAAATAAAAAAAAAATTATACTTCACCCCGTATATGAGTAGATGCACCGCGGAAACTGAAAGTCCGGTTCTGGCAAGGTACCGCATAAATGAGAAATCGCGGAAAGTGAAACCGTGTAAAGCAGGGTAATGCTGTATAATATAAACCACTCTTACCACCCCGAAAACCAAAACCATGACAGTATCAATAAAATAAGTTAAAGGAAGATGATCATTTCACTCAAGTATAAAAGATTTCACTCCCTGCATTTTGTTTTCACCTTTCTTAATGAGTTTCCTATTACAGTGCAGGAAACTAGAACTCAAGCAAACACAAGGAGACTCTCCCCTAAGTCATAATCATTCAAGTTTTCATATTCACCTTAAACATTATTTCATCATTCTCCATTATCAATCAGTCATTCTACCATCTATCTTTCAAGTTACAATGCTCCTTACCATCTGCCCTTTATAATGTCCCAAAATAAAACCTGCAACATTGCAAGAGTATATAAGTAAAAACAAAATGTGCATTATACAAGATTTTTCTTTTTCTTTTTTCAATCTAAAAAAATAATTTCCTTCAACATTTACTTCCATATTTCTCTAATTTCTGTTTTTTGTCAATAAAAATATAAGACTTTTTAACCATATAGACAAGTCAACCCTTCTACATCACAAGATATGTGTTTAAATTACTATCTATAAATCCCTTTATTTTATTTTAGTTTTCCACTTTACTACACTAGTTCTCTTATGTTCTTTTGTGTCTACTTCCTAACTTGTATCTCCCTTCATGAACATAACCAAAGGAACTCTCATTCTTGTTCTATATTATATCTTATGTAAACAGGATGAACTTCGCTACAGTGGTAATTGTTATACTGTACTGTGAGGTAGTCCATTATCCCTGAATATTGATCTCCAGTGAGGAGGTAATGTGTTATTGATATTCAGTGTGTGAGACAGTGCTGTATACCAGTCACCATTTACCCTCTATCTTGCCAACAAAACCCAACTGGCTTACAGATGTCTACCAGGGAAAGATATACTTGTGGGTTGTACAGACACCGAGGTAACTCAAAAAAGTTCTAAGAGTACAAAATTCCAGAAGGAGACTCCCACGACCCTTTCAGTGAGGATGCCTTAACTTGCCCACACATTTTCCAACACTGGGTAATGTACAGCACAAGTGGATCTTGTCTCACATAAAACTCTGTGCAATTTTCTTCAAAGACCTTTACTAAGTTCCTTAGAATGCCTGTTACCTCCCATAATCATAATAATCATAATAATAATAATAAAAAATTCTTTGTCACTTGTTTCTAACTGACCATTTCACAAAATATTGGGGAGATGAACAGCTAACACTACTATTGGCTGGATAACCACGGAAGGAAATGTTTTCCTTCACTGAAGATGCTACATCTACTTGAAGCAATTATAGCCATATGGCTAAACTTAACTGTAGATATAAGTTAGAGTTAATTGAAATTAAGAGCATCTTGCCAACTCGTTTTTTTTTCATTTTTTTAATCAAGTATGACTCATACCTTAACCAGTCTTCTTCCCCTGATATAGAGAATCTTGGCAGAGAATCTCTAGAGTGAGAGTGGAGACGTCTTCTCCTCTGTACCTGGGGAGACACATCCTCACTTTCGGTCTGCGATGATTCTGGTGTACTCTGGCACACAGGCACTCCTTCTAATTTACCAGCATTCCTTAAATGATTATAATAAAATATGTAGTGAATTTTATCTCATGAAACAAAGCTGAAAAATAGTAAACAATAAAAAATAATATAATAATTTTATCAAATAAGGTCGCAAAAAAAATTCCTTTTGCCTTTTCTGTTGCTCCACGAGCCCAGTGATTCAGACTCATGACCCCAAAGCAGTAGACACTGATGCATTATTCTGACCATAAATACCTCGGATTCACGAGTTTGAATCTCAGGGTTCGTGGAGCAGCAGATGTGACACGACCTTTGTTCCCACCTGTACAAGATATTAAAATAAAAATTAATCTCTATTTGTGTCATTTTCCCATTAAATCATGTTCTTCTAGGTATTAATGTCTTACTTAAGAATAAGTCCTTGTTTTATTACGGAAAATGTGCACCGCTTCTGACATACTATTACTGATATGACCTTGCTTGACTCCCTCAATTAAAACCAACTTTCTCAAAATTAAGAGAGTTAATTGGGACTCCATAAACTGAGAACTTTATATAAAAAAATAAAAACATAAGATAACAATATTAAGTAACATCTCACATAAAAATAGGAAATAAAACCACATCCATTAAATAAAATTAAAAATGACATTAACATATGAAACAGAATGAGGAAATAACATACCATCAATTAAATAAACTTAAAAAATAAATGAAAGACCCATGAATACCATTTCCCACTGACTAACTGACGGAACTATCCTCAACATGAAACAAAAAACTGGAACTGATAAAAAGAACACAACACTGTCAGATCTTCCTTCTATTAAAGCTTTAAATTTAGTTGTGTGTGAACAGAACATTTTACTACACAATGGTGGGTGGATAATATGTGGGTGGGTATTAAGTGGGTGGGTATTAAGTGGGTGGGTATTAAGTGGGTGGGTAATAAGTGGGTGGGTAATCTGAGTGAGTAGAATAGAAAACTGCTTGAAATAAGTGGAGGTAAGACACATTGCTCTTCATGTAAATACTGTTAAACAAGGATAGTCAATGTCATAGTTATAAAGGAAGAAATTTATATAAGTCAGAAAGAATGACATGACACTGAAGGGGGTCTCGGCTTCATTCTCCCGACAAACATCAAACTGTCCGAGAACTGAACGTAAACACAATGTCCTTCATAAACACAGAAAGGGCTTACAACAGCAAATGTTAAACGTGACCAAGAACTTGCCAGTATTAAGCTCCATGAAAACTTAGTTACAGTTCATGTGCTGTACTGAATGTTATGTTAAGTGGAAACCAATGATGTTGCATCTTTACAACCTTTCTAAATTGATAAAGGCTATAAGTTATTAATAAAAACCAATTGACAATAATGAAAGTAGTAAAATAAAGTAACCCGTGTTCAGGGAAGTGATTAGATATCTCTATGATCATGTCCATCATGTGTGGTGATTGTGACTCATAATGACCCACTTAAAACCATTACCTTCGCTCTGAGGTTTGGTCATGATAGAAGAGCCTCCATGGTGTACTATCATTGTATGGGTTCTTTGCCCTCTCTTTTGACCCTATCCCCTCCTCTGTCCTCCCCTAAATATATTATTCCTCCTTTCCCTCCCACAATGCATAAGCCACTTTATCTCTGTACACCTTATTTACTGACCTCTCCTCCTCCGTCCTTCCCTTACCATCTCAACATCTTCATCATTTCATTGCAGCCGAATTAACACCATCTGCTTTCCCCGTCATCCAAAACACCTCATAAATAACACCAAATTCTCTCTCTTCTACATATTTTACCATCTGTCTACTTTTGATTACAAATGCTCTCAACATTCTCCTGGTAAACACTTCCAAACTCATTCATTAACATTTGTAACATTTCCCCTGAACTGCACAATTAAAAGGAGCAGCCAACTTAAACATCACATTTACAAAGGCGATCATTTTTCAGCACATACACTTCATTTACTGGGAAGCATTTTCTCTCTTCCTCTGACACATGCTTCACTCTCCCCATAAAATCTTGTAAATAGTATTCAATAATTTCTCACATCCATTTCTAACTACAGTTTTGTATTTTATCAAACTTTTTAAATAATCACATACATCTGTAATAACTTCTGCACTCCCTCTTTTCCTCCTCTCTTCCGACCTGATAACTCTATAGCCAACTCTCCCCCTGATAAAGCCAATCTCTTTGGCACCTTATTCTTCTCTAATTCCACCTTAGACAATTCCAAGCCTATCCCTCCTACTGAACCTATGCACTTTCCTATAATCTCCACTCGCAGGGTTGCTGGTGTGTTATCCAGGTTGGATGTGAGTAAGGCGCATGGACCGTACGGAATACCCCCTCATGTTCTGAGGGAGTGTGCTGAAGTTCTGGCCCCTGTGCTTGCTCACCTCTTTCGCCTTTGCCTCAAGACCCAAACTTTTCCTTCTTCTTGGAAGCATGCCTCGGTTCAGCCCATCCCGAAGAAGGGTGACCATTCCAATCCCTCTAACTATCGCCACATTACCCTATCTTCATCCCTCTCCAAGATTTTTGAAACTATCTTAAACTCTCATTTTCTCCGTCACCTTGAACGCCATTCTCTTTTATCGGATCACCAGTATGGCTTTCACCAGGCGAGATCTACTGGTGATCTGCTCTCCTTCTGCACCCATCTTTGGTCAGCCTCTCTTAGGGATTATGTGGAAACTTTTGTCGTGGCCCTCGACATGTCTAAAGCATTTAACAGGGTATGGCACAAGTCTTTGCTTTCTAAACTTCCCTCTTATGGTTTCCCTCCCCCACTTTGTTTTCTAATCTCTGGCTTTCTTGAGAATCGATCCATGGCAGTTGTTGTTGAGGGATCAATCTCTCGCTCTTTTTCTACCAATAGTGGTGTTCCACAGGGTTCTCTTCTTTCACATACTTTTTATCAATGATTTACTTCAAACTACAACTAATTCTATCCATTCTTATGCTGATGATTCTACTCTTCACTCTTCTTCACGTTTTCCCCTTCCCCCTAATTCTCAAACTAGATCTGTTTCTAAGGCTGATATCATTATTATGTATCAATGCGGATCAGTGCAACATCTCCGAATGGGGAGGTAGAAACTTGGTTAAATTCAATAGTAATTAAACTCGGTATTTACCAATTACACTTTCCAAATTAGATGATCTTCCACCAATCACATTTCAGGATGCTGTCATTCTGCCAAATTCTAAAATAGATTTGCTAGGTCTCACCATTTCCTCTAATATATCATGGAAGCCACACATCCTCAACATTGCTAAAGCTGCCCCCCGAAAGCTTGGAATGCTGTACAGATGCCGTAGCTACTTCACTCCTGAGCAGTTGCTTCAAGTATATTAGGGATTCATTCGTCCTAACTTGGAATACTGCTCTCATATCTGGGGTGGCTCTTCTTCTGTTCAAATGTTAGATAAAGTGGAATCAAAGGCATTTCATCTTATTAACTCTCCTCCTCTAGTTGATAATCTTTCTTCCCTTTCTCTTCGCCGCAATGTTGCTTCACTCTCTCTCTTTTACAGGTAATTTAACGGGCAATGTTCGGTGGATTTGGCATCCTGTGTACCGCCGGCAAGACCGGGGACTCGTAACACACGTCTTGCCAGCGGTGCCCACCGTTTCTCTGTGGATGTCGGTCACACTAGAATAACCTGTTATAGTACATCCTTCTTTCCTCACACAGCCTAACTGTGAAATGTTCTGCCTTCTTCTGTGTTTCCACACTCATACAATCTGTCTCACTTGAAAAAGCTGGTTTTCTGGCATCTTCACAATATAGATTAATATAACCTTTTCCTTTTCTATTTTTAATTTCTTTTTATTCTTATTTTTTTGCCCCCTAGGCCCCGTTGTGGGTCAATGACCTGTGCCCGGGTGGGCTATTCCCGGTAAAAAAAAAAATAAATAAAAATGACATTACTTTTAAGTTTTAGTAAAATGTATATACAACTTACACATCAGGTGTAACAGGCAGATCTTGGCTCTCAGTATCAGGAGTATTGGTGGACGACTCGAGGGTTGAGCGTGACGACTCAGATTGGTCACTGTGACCAGAGTCTCCACGGGACACAATGCCTCGTCCAACATCCGCCCCCTCCGCCCCACCTTCAGTTGATGTCTCATTCTGTAAGTTATTGAGTTATATATTTATTTACAATAAGAATTTGTGATCTTGAACCTTACATCAAAAATATATATATACAATACATTGTACAGTATCTGTATATCATTTCAATGTCTCACAGTACATTCCCAATTACTAAGAACAAGTGTCGAGTTGTATGAATCTTCTTTTTGTTTATAAGGAGCAGTAACAAGATGACAACTAATAAATAAATTATATATATAAATAAGGAAAATTATTTAGCTCTATTCTCAAATCTGTTTTTCATCATTATTTTTATAAAATGTCTAAAGAAAGTTATTTTTCTTTATATCTGGTCAATTTCAGTTTTATTGTGCAAATAACAACTTACTACATCAAGTATATCAATGTGAAAATATTTTATTTTTCATTCAGGATGAGAGCAGTGCTGTAGCCATAATCTTCAGGCTATTGGTAATTTTGTTAAGCATTTAAGCTGCAGTCCAATCTTATTGTATTGTTTCTTAACTATGCACATCTAGCATATTTAAATAAAAACTAAATACAAAATTAATAAGAACTTGATGAACATTGCCCGAGTAACTGAAAATATAGAGCAAATTTTCCTACCTGCTTCCTCACCTGAAAGCTGGAGTCAAGCTGGGGAGCATCGGCAGAGTGGGATGAAGTGAACTTGTGATACCTGGGAGAATAAGAGGAGAAAGATGGGAATGCCCCTCCTTCCCCTCCCTCCTCACTATCCTCTTCTAGTTCATGGTTATACCGATCCAAACGAGCTGCAAGGACACAAACAAACACAAAAAATTTTAATGTACAGTGTAAACTTATTCTTCCACTCCTCTAATCACTTTCTTGCATCAAGGTCTTAGAAAATTCCTTGTACACCTGTATACAATGATAGAACCATGTTAATGAAAGAAGTTATATTGCCAACCCTATCCAGCTTATCTATATATGAGATAATATGGTACTTAAGGGGTGTGTGTGTGTGTTGTTACACTGTGCCGTGAAACTCACTGTCAAAGTAGCTGGTGTCTTCCTCGTGATCCAACTGTGGTACAAATTCTGCCTTCATCCTTAACAGTGAGTCCCAGTCAACGAAGATAAAGAATGGATGCTCCTTGACTTCCAGGGCTCCTCCCACTGTCCCGAGGCGGTCCAGAGGTGAGTGGTGAAGCAGTGCCGTAATCAGGTCCTTGGTGTCATCCATGACTGGCCAATCCTCTTCACTTGGCCACTCGATGTCATCGTTGACGGTGTGTGCAAACAGCTCTTCCGGTGTCTCTCCAAAAAAGGGGACGCACCCAATGAGAAATTCATAGAGAATAACTCCCATTGCCCACCAGTCCACAGGCTTGCCATATCCTTGTCTGGAATTGATACAAGAAAATTAACACATCACCGTAAAAAAAATCTAAACGTAACAAAAATTCTGTTTTTGCCGATACAGGTTTGAGAGGACATGCTGCCGATGAGTGATGCTGGTGGGTGTGTGTGTGTGTGTGTGTGTGTGTGTGTGTGTGTGTGGTTTTATTAATTCTGGTCATCCAAATTTAACCAAAACAAATCATAAAAGTGTACAAAAAAAAGTCTGATTTTGCAGATCAAGTTCCTCTGGTGAATGATTTAGAAGAATTACAAAAGTTAGTGAATGGACGTGGAAGAGTTTAAGTTAAGAGAAAGTTAAAAGGAATGTGAACAAAGTAATGAGAGTAATTACTGATGGCGGACTGGGAATATTAAACCTTGATGTGAAGGAAGACGACAGTCCACAGGAAAAAAATTGAGATGTTCTAGATATTTGGGAATAAAAGTAAATGAAGTGTGTAAGAGAGGTCAGAGAGAAGCCCTAATGACCTAATTCTAATATGATGAAGTGTGTAAGAGAGGTCAGAGAGAAGCCCTAATGACCTAATTCTAATATGTGTAAACTATGATGTATAATTTTTTACTGTTAAGGTATTTAAAAGAGTTAAGCCAAACTATATCTGAAATGGCAACCAAAGTATTTTGTTTTATATTTATCTCTACATCAACAAGGATCTGCCCACTATGGGTGGCAGGAATCAAGAGGTCAGAGACTCCTTCCAGTCACTTGCCCTAACACAACAGATCTTTTCAGTTTGGTGTTCCCCTTCACAATAAAGACCCAATATATCCACGTGGATTATCTGATTATCCACATTATTTCATTTAGTTACTGTATTTCTATAAAGGCAAGTTTGATGATGCAAGACAAACATATTTATACTTAAACATAGACGTGAAAAAATTTAAGAAATGTGTTGCTGAAATGTTATTAAAAAATGGAAGTCGAATGATCTTAAGTAGTAACAATAATTATTAATTAGAAATAATAATAATTATTCTGTACTAATATGTACTACAAAAAGTGCAATCACAATTTACTGCTTCAATATTACACAACTCACCTCAATATAACTTCAGGTGCAATGTATTCAGGCGTCCCATAAACTTGCTTGTCGGAGAACTGTCGGGTTTCCTTATCAATGTAGCCTTCGTAGAGGTTTGTGGCCAGTGACATCAAGCCCATCTTACTCAGGCCAAAATCTGTCAGCTTTATGTGCCCCAGAGCAGTGATCAGCAAGTTGTCTGGTTTTAGGTCGCGATGCACAATACCGTAGCTACAAGAGAAATTTTGAAAATGGATGTTAATAATATTTTCAGTTATGCTTCAAAGAAAAACCTTGTATTACACACTTGCTAAAACCATTTTTTTTCCATTACAGGGATTTAAATATGATAAGTTACAGCCTGATAACTAATAAATACAAGTTCATAATTTTACCATATAAAACATCTATTACATGTACTGTACTGTATTAATAAACCATCAATGGTGACTCACCTATGTAAATATTCAACAGCTAATACGGTTTCAGCAAAGTAGAACCTGGCCATGTCTGGTGGGAGAGGACCCATGTTCTTGAGCAGGGTGGCACAGTCTCCACCCTCTACGTACTCCATCACTAAACACAAATGTCTTTTGGTTTCAAAACTGCAGATCATTGACACTACGAAGGGGTTATCTGTGAAGCTCATTATGTCACGCTCGTTAAACACTTGCTCCACCTGACAGAAAAAAAGGTCAGAATTATTTTTCATGTAATTTTTAATATTGTAAGCTTTCTGCCATACTGTACTTCACATTAATAAATATAGAGTAATGAGGTTAACTTGGTTACCTATGACAATACCGTGTGTGTGTGTGTGTGTGTGTGTAATAATAATAATAATAATAATAATAATAATAATAATAATAATAATAATAATAATAATAATAATTATTAACGGTTTATTGAAAAAATTCTGCAGCCCGAGGACTGAAAATATACATTGGACATAAATGACTTATTACATACATTGGTGGTTTAACAAAAGCCTTCATTAGAGAAAGGTAAAGGAACATACAGTGAACATACAGATTAATGTAGGTGTTGAACAGCAAACTCGTAGTGTAGTAACTCTCTCCCAGATGGTGTTATGAGGGACTTGGCGTGGTGTAGTAATTCCCACGCAGATGGTGTTATGAGGGGCCTCACGTGGTGTAGTAATTCCCTTACAGATGGTGTTATGAGGGACTTCACGTGGTGTAGTAATTACCTCACAAATGGTGTTATGAGGGGCCTCACGTGGTGTAGTAATTACCTCACAAATGGTGTTATGAGGGGCCTCACGTGGTGTAGTAACTCCCTCACAGATGGTGTTATGAGGGGCATCACGTGGTGTAGTAATTCCCTCACAGATGGTGTTATGAGGGGCCTGACGTGGTGTAGTAATTCCCTCACATATGGTGTTATGAGGGACCTCACGTGGTGTAGTAACTCACAGATGGTGTTATATGAGTGAGGTTTGGTCTTAGGCCTTCCTATCGTAGACGGATTAACACATCGCTGGTTGTTGTTGGGTCTCACGGGCCGTTATCACTGGGTACCTGGGACCTCACTGTGTGAAGGTTAACTTGGGTACGACTGTTACTGTTGAGTTGTTCTCACTGACTTAAGCACTGTTCACCACTGTTCACCTCTGTTTAACACTGGTTCCGTTCCTTTCCTAAATGAAATTGTAACTTCTGGCGAGAACTTGTTGATATTCCGGTGGGGAGGAGGGTTCAGGGGAGGGGGTTGGTATGGGCCAACTTAACAGTTGACCTGGCTGCTCCGAGAGGAGCGCCAGGTACGTCTTGACCCTTCGGTGGTCAAGGATGTAGTGTGTGTGTGTGTGTGTGTGTGTGTGTGTGTGTGTGTGTGTGTGTGTGTGTGTGTGTGTGTGTGTGTGTGTGTGTGTGTGTGTGTGTGTGTGTGTGTGTAAGTGTGTGTGTGTGTGTAAGTGTGTGTAAGTGTGTGTGTGTAAGTGTGTGTGTGTAAGTGTGTGTGTGTAAGTGTGTGTGTGTGTGTGTGTGTGTGTAAGTGTGTGTGTGTGTAAGTGTGTGTGTGTGTGTGTGTGTGTGTGTGTGTAAGTGTGTGTGTGTAGTGTGTGTGTGTGTGTGTGTGTGTGTGTGTGTGTGTGTGTGTGTGTGTAAGTGTGTGTGTGTAAGTGTGTGTGTGTGTGTGTGTGTGTGTGTGTGTAAGTGTGTGTGTGTGTGTGTGTGTGTAAGTGTGTGTGTGTGTAAGTGTGTGTGTGTGTGTGTGTGTGTGTGTGTGTGTGTGTAAGTGTGTGTGTGTAAGTGTGTGTGTGTAAGTGTGTGTGTGTGTAAGTGTGTGTGTGTAAGTGTGTGTGTGTGTGTGTGTGTGCATTGTCTCTTATGAAATTGTTTTTATTGTCTAATTTTCTTTTCAGAGCCCCTTGGCAATCTACTTTTTATTTTCAAATTTACACTCTTTATTCAAGGACCACTATTATTTCTACCCATTGTTTAAGTTATCCCTACCAAGTCAGCAGCACTTGAAGGTGTAAACCCAATACAAGACCAAAATCCTTTTCTGGTACAGTATATGCTGTCTCATTTATACAAGATGATGCCAATAAGGAACAATAATAAATCAAGGTAAAATTTCTTCCAATTTTGCTATTTAACAATCTGCAACACCTATAAATAACCAAAGTGAATAATATAACAAATATATATGTTCACACACCTGGTTCCTCAACATGAGGTTGTGTTTACTGATCTTCTTCATGGCAAACCGCTCTTTACTCATTTTGTGTCGGACGAGGTAAACGGCGCCATAAGCTCCATTTGATATAAGTTTGACATTTTCATAATCCTCTTCTTTTGGGGAGCTTCTAGAGGGTGGGCTGGAGTGAGTGGAAGACTGTCCAGGGGAGTACTCTGAATTGGAAGTTTTTCTGTTGGTTGCACCACTAGCTGCACTTGTGCCACTGCCTGTGCTGTCCTCTGCGTCACCATCCCCAGCTAAGTCATCACTCAGCTCTACAAACATTGGTTACATTATTTACAATGACTACAGAAATATTTGAAGACAAGTAATTTACTGTTGCAGTTATTATGGGTCAGACAGATTGATTGTGTATAAGCCTCTTTGACATTTAAATAGCCTAATGGTTTAGATAATTCATAATAAACTATCACAAAAACCTTTAAAAATATTCCTTTTAACATGATAAGGAAAGCTTTAGGTAAACAAGAATTTTTTTTTAATTAAGTTCAATTCGTATTAACTCACCAGCCAGGGGATCTCTGTTAAGACCCAGTTTAGTAATGATATACTGAGGAATGTCAGTCTTGATGCCTTGGCTGATTCTGGCCTGACCCTCAGCTTGTTCCAGTAAATGGTAGAATTCCTCTGGATCAAACTCTAAGCATTCTAACAGTCTGGCTGGTCGAGATACAATGAGCAACAGCTTCTTGATCAGGGACGTGAGATGTGCTGCAGCATCCGGGGATTTTTCACGTGTCTGGAGAAAAAGAATATATATTTAAAAGTACCTGATGGAAGACAATCTGTCATTCTCATTCAAATTTAGGTAGACTGGTCCACACATCATACATTAATTATTAAATGGCGAGTTTTTAATTCTAATTTAGGTACTTATCACACTCGAGTCAAAACAAGAACAATTTAAGATATAATATTATGTTCACACTTTACATATATAAGATGAGTCTGAACAATTGAACACAAATTATAATAACTTCATTTGAGTTTAATTTAAGCAAACACTATGTAGAGTATAAAAAAATTATGTGTAATGAATACATATTGACACTGAAACAGTTTATTTGGCCAGAAAAATAGACACACACACGGAGATGACAATAACAACAATTGTGACAAAGCCGAGAGGATGGTAGAGTAACATTACTGTACGACTCTTAACACTGTACAGTACTAATAAAAGACAAACTTACTCACTCCAACCCAGAAATAATAAAGATATGAAGCTCTTCTGGAATGAACTTCCCCTTATACTTATGTACATTTGACTATATAGTAATAAGAGAAATTATCAAGTCCCACATTGGCCCTGTAGTAATGACACCACAGAATCTATGCCCCCTGAGTTGAAGGCAGATGATCCAATTAGATATTTTGGTAGAAACTTCCACACCCACAATCTGAAACTTTCTCCAAACTTTAATATTTCTAGTCTATTATCCTTCCTCCACATTACTGCCATGAATGACTTCTATTTTACATATAACCACTGTTAACAATATTGAGATGTTTATATTCCTCTTAGTTTTTTTTTTAGCTTTTGATAAAATAAAAGTAAAATTTACCATAAAAATTTCTCAGCAGTTTTAATGTTCTATGGCAATTCCCCCCACCCCCCAAAAAAAACAATGCTTCATAAATAATCTCCAAATCGGGGATTACCTTTAACCATTTATGAGCACACTGGCAGCCTTTAAATGTATATAACAAAATACTAACTCAACTTACCTCACAGAGTAGTTTTTCAAGGTTTTCAGAGAGCTCATAAAAGTATCTGCTTGTTATCAACTTTTCCTGTGACTTTTGGAGGCAATCCTTAGCCATTTCTATGACCTGGTGGTGGACAAAGCGAGCAATGGCCACACCGTCTTGGGCGATATCTGAGCTCCCTTGTACTTCCAGAGTTCTGTTGTCCTCTATGAATGTGTTCAACCTCTCCTCCATCTGCTGTGTGGCCTGTTAATACATAGAGATGTCTTAAATAACAGTATATAATACAACTTAACAACACAATAACTATCAAAGTAAGACAACAAACTTGCCAGCAAATTGCAGTTTAGATAATATTACAATGAGAAGAAATGGAGACAGGATGAAGACAGTTAGTTGTTTCAGAGAATCATTTAATGAACAGTATTACATTGTATCATATCATCAGGATGTTGAGTTTTCACACAGTTGAAGAAGTTTAATTCTGTCAACACACTCTTACCTTTGGAAAACGTTCTTTGTACAGAGTATTCATCATGATAATCTCGTTGTCAACGACTGGTGATCGAATTGGACTACTGCACATGGGAATAAAAAGAGTTGTGTCATTTGATGTAAAAAAATTAAATTAAATAAAAATCGGACCATACATATTTGATACTGTACAAAACCAAGTATCGTAATAGTAAATATAGTATAAACACAAGCACAGAAATATTGGTAAGAATAAAATAAAATTATAACTATGGGGAGACCAAGATGTTCTCCCTGTGAATGAAACACCAATTCCATCACATAGAGAAAAAACAGTAACAAAGAAAATATAATCACTACCTTCTTATCTATCTATTACTCTGTCATATTAAAACCATTACAATTTTAGTTACCAGTCTATGTTTTGTATAACATGCGTGCATATCCAGTGTAGATACTATTTTCCTACAAAGTTTAAGAAAAGGCCATCATCTAAATTTTCCCCTTACTCATGTTAAAAAGTTTCAAATTCTTACATGATCACTTATTCCTTACTTTTCTTTTAATACAACTTCCTCTCACACTGTGACCAATTACTCTAAAATATCTGATCCCTTCTTTCCCACACACACCCAAACTCACAGAATAACGTCAACTCGACTCTACTTCCATCCACTGGCCTCCTGAGTTTGGGACCCATGTCAGGAAGCATCTCTTAGCAGTCATTTGCAACACTTCTCCCAAGCCACCGGGATGCAATGAGATGAAATGCATTATCCATTGTTTGTTTATATTTCTAACAAAAGGGAGCCATCACCTTACGGCATCTGTCTTGCCGTTGAAAGTGATGCTTCAACAAGCTCACCTAAGAGTCACAAAAGGAACCCCAACCTTGGCATCCAAAACAAGGTACAATTATTAGATCACCTGCCCAAGAATGGTGACAGCATTGCCTTTAACTGTTCATTTACCTCAACCCCTTTTTTGGTACAGTATTTAACCTCAAGATCAAAAGAGGGGGTCCACCATACACCAGTTTTAATTTAAGGTAAAGAGAATTAATTGCTTTTTCTCATGTACAAGTCTTCTTACTTATTGTCCATCAGTTATATTTTCCAGTCTGATGACAGGTTCAGCCAAACATACAAGGGTAAAGGGTAATACATACCTGCACTGCCTCATCAAGCAATAACCTCCACCAACATGCTATTGAGAGATCACCCGATTTATCTAATGGCCGCCTAAACTAGAGGTGTTCGTCACCTTACTGAACTTGTCCTCCATCTCTCGGCTGACAGTGAAACTCAAGTACAGTATCAAAAAATCAACTCCACTTCATTCAGTTTGTTTTGATTTTCAGTCACTGTTCTGACACTTATTTTCATAAACTTATAAATAATGTAAACAACCTTAATGTTCACTTATAAGAACTTGAAAAGTATGTTGGCTGCTACTGATGAGAACTTGCTGCCCAAGGGAACTATATTATCCTTAATCTTTTATTACACCAAATTTCTATCTTTATTATTCATTTTTCCTTCATTACTTACTGTATTTCCCTACTGTACATACATATACTTAGGCATTATTCATTATTGTCACTTATAAGTCTTCTTCACTTTCAGTTCCAAGGGGAAATAAATCCTTAATATACGTCACAAGAAAACTAATACTAAGGGCATTCATCATTTTATGTACAGTACGGAGCTCTGGGTCTTCAAACTGACAGGTAAGACACTGATCTACAAGTGTGCACAAGACTCAGCATGAACTAACTCTATGTACAGTAACACCAGAACATTTTAGGCACATACTAAACTTACAGCTACACTATTAAAGTAAACTCTCACTCATATTCACAAAACAACGTCAAATTTCACTCGTATAACTAGTTCGTGTGTGTGTGTAACTTGACCATCATCCTCCATCACCATAACAATGCCCTTTGTACAACCTCTTCAAACACTGAAATTCCAGGAAATCTCACAAAAATCAAACATAATTTCACCCACACTCTGTCTCCTTTTGCCTTGTGAATGTCATGTCACTATAACACATCATTACAGTATATGCACAGTAATATGCAGTCCTACAATATGTATTCTTTATAACCTGCTCCATAGTTACTTCCTAAAGCCAGGTGACTATAATGGATAAGAGGGTAGTGACTATACTCAGGCAGATAGAAAGGCATGAAAATATTCTCAGGAAAAACATATAAGCAACAAATTTGAAGGATAACTGATGCACACTGCATACCAAGATGGCAGTCAACAGATATATACAGCAAAAGATTTCTGAGTAAAGAAATTAAAAAAAAACATTTTCCTTTTATAAAACACTATTCAATAAACACAGAGCTAGATCAGGGTATTTATCTTATAAAATACTAAACATATTCTCTCTAAAACTAACAACTTTAAAAATAACAGCTAACAATAAAAACCTATCAATATCCTTTTCAAATACTAGGTACGTATATTAATAATCTTTTAATCTAACATAATATAAGTGAGGTAATGTACTGTACAGCATTACTAATAAAACATATTGCCACACCAATAATGCATTACTGAGGACACTCTTGATGCAGTATTAACTAACTGTCCTCATGAACAATCTACAGCACTAACAAAGAGTATTCACCTCTCACAGTTTGTACTTCAAATGGCACGCTCTTACAAGGTCAGGCTAATGGTAAACTATTCTGTACTTGCTGTGCACTTGATGATCAACAATTTGTTGAAAGGTGAAACCCTAATTGTGATGCAATCAGTCATATTGAGTCTTGAATATGTGACTTTATATTTACTGGGGAGTAGAATAATATATTCTGATATTTAAAGACGACCGCTAACCTCCTTACGCCGTACCCTACACTATGTGGGGTAGGGACCTCCAGGTGAGAAGGGTTAACATAACCCACGACAATGTCATGGCTGGTGGCCGACTTACCACACATTACAGCAGAATAACCCTCCATCAACCCAGCCAGGCCACAGGACTAAACCTGTGTTCTATGACATGAGAACTCAGAGCTACCAACTGAGCCATGAGAACAGTGACAACCGCATAAGAAAATTAAAGATCAAACAGCAACACCTGAAGTATCTGATCACCAAGAAGTCTGCATTCTTGCTCAGTATTACAAAGGTGAATCCTTTGCCAACTGTTGCATTTAGAAAAAAATAAGCAAAAGATGAGGTGTCTGGGCATGTATACCAAGTGGAGGAAATAAAAGTCAAGAATTATAAAGCAAAAATACTGTGAAACAAAATGAGACAAAGAATGAGATAAAGATGGGGAAAATAATCTCTGAAAGACTAAAGACAACACTACAGTACAAGCGAATGTGGGAGTTCATCACTTTCACCACTACAACACTGTGTGGGTTACCCAACAATTCTTTACAGTTTGGTAGCTTCCACCATTATGAACAATTACAGATTAAATTATTTATTTAATCTTTAATCCTCACAGCATATAGTAATTATTTGTTTCATTAATGTTTTCTCAATTATTTCTATTAACAATATACAGAAATAAAAAAATATAAAGCCTCTCTTAACACTGTCACTATTCTGTAGCGCACACACACACACACACTATTGTTCAATCAGGCAGTAAGAGAGGGAGATAAGGACCTTTCTCTAATTCATGGTCCTTTTCTTTGGCCTCCACCCACACTCACTAGCATCCTTTTTGTCTGTTATTGTTCCCACTATGGTGTCTCCATCTTTTCCTTCCTTTTATTTTCTAGTGTCAGAGTACTGTACTGTACTGTAAGCTAACATCCATTACTTTACTTCCCAGAACCTGTCAAGTGGCAGTTGAAAACATACAATACCAAATCTCCTATTGCTATACCTCCTTGGCCAAGATTCTGAACCTATATATCTTGGCTTGGGAGTCCAGACCACTATTAACTGAATGATGTATAAGTAGACACACACACACTCCTGTTTCTCAGTAGTGTACAGACAAGAGGCAACTGTTTTGTTGTCAAAACCTAGAAAATAAACATAAGATTTTTGCAGCAAAGGTTTTGTGCTACTGCATAGACTTCAAGGTGCAATGATGATCAGGTGTTGAAATGTTTGAGGATGGCTTTACCCATGCAGCCAATCTCTCCAAAAGAATTTCTTGTGGGCAGGAGGAACCACAGAGAAGTAAGTAAACAAATAAATAAAGACTCGTATATCTGATAGCATCACTAGTCGAACCATGACAGTCCAAAGAGCAGTAGGTAGCAAGGGAATGGTGCTTTCCAATGGGTAACAAAATGAGTGGACAGGGTGGCATATACAACCAGTTGACTGTGTCGTGGAACACTGGCAAAGAGAAGAGGGAGAGGGAGAGAGATGAGGTGAGTTTGATATCTTACTCAAGTGTGGAGATGCAGAGCCAGGCCAGACTAGAGCCGCACAAAGTGAAGAAAACAAACATAAAAATTATTGTCAAGTCAACCAAACTCATTGTAAAGTGTCTATGTGCCACTAAAAGCAGCAGATAATGTTAGCCCGTTAAAGCAAGTGATGCATTTCAAGACGTATAGATCTAGCTCATCTGAAAAAAGGATTAAAAAAAAAAAAAAAAAAAAAATTGCTGTGGCATAGGGAAAAAATATATGTATAAAAAAATTTCATTGTGGCTCTTATGTACAGTACATAAAAATATACTAGGAGTAAAGAAGTTATGGGTAGGATAAACTACTACTGGTTAGGTTCCATGACAGAATAATGAAATAAATTAGCCAAAGGAATATTAAAAAAATAAATAAAAAATAATTAGTTCCTATGATTCTTGGATACAGTACATTACAAACTCCTGGAGGGGAAGAGGGGGAGGGAAGAGGGAGGGAGAAGAGGGGGAGACAACCTTAGGCACCAGGATGTAAGGTGGAAAATATTAAGAGGCTGGTGGTGGGGTGGGGGGGGTGGTGTTAAAAATCACACACACACACGGTAGATAATTCACCGACTTCCAGATTAACAAACCATGAATAAATATATCATGGATCAGGGGATTAAACAGGGTAATTTAGTAGAGTCATAATATCCACACAAAACTTCTTCACAGATTTCCTTGACTGCTAAAAAAAATGCCTACATTACTTCTATTGCAAAAGCTGACATATCTATCAAGCAACTGGATAAACAAAGAAAAATCCATATACTATTATTTTTTTAAAGCACTCTACTTGAGGTGAAAATGACTGGCAGTGTATTAGTCCTCAGGGAAGAGAAGAAAAAAATTAAAATTATGAATTATTCCTGACATAACCTCTGGGGTGTCATTACAGTGTCTTTTCCCCGGGGAGGTTACAGCATTAAACCATTTTTATGTCAGTACAGTATGACTCTACACCAACCAATATGACCTAACCTTATGATTTTAGGTTGGTTTGGTTGGGATAGGTTGGTAAGGCTGGGATAGGTTCATTAGGCTGGGGTAGTTTGGTTCAGTTGGAATAGTTTTGTTCAGTTGGAATAGGTTGGTTCTGTGGGATAGTTAGGTTAGGTCGTGCTGATTCGCGTCACATGTCATAAAATGTTTCACTGCCACGTAGCTTCAGTAACGACCCAGAGGACTAGAATCACCGTTTCCTACGTCGTCTTTCAAACAACGCTTAACATCTGTGTTCGGGCTGTCACTAGCCTCTCACACTCCTTTAATCCTATCACAAGAAAATGCCACGAGTCTTCATCCTTAATATTCGACATCTGAAAATTAAAACCAGTCAAATAAAACTAACATGCTAAACTTAATACGATACTTGACGAACCAATGCCATTTTTTGGGAGGGTGGGGGTGGTGGGGGATTATACTAGTTTGGGTTCATTCTCCAAGAAACACAAAATAAGACATTTCTACAGATCTTCTCAACCTTGACCACATATACCATCACTCTGTCTGGCTTCCCAACAAAGAGTTTCTTCCTGGAAACTTTAATTACATATCAAAACTCTCAGTCATTCCTCTCATGTACCCTGTACCACATTTTACCTCTACCAATATGCCTACACTGACCTCACCCTATTGTAATACTTGACTGTAACTAACGCAGACATCTTTTGTTAACCTTCACAATTTTTTCACAAAAACCTTTCATTCTTGGTGAAATGGATAACATAGTGGAGATGACAATAAGAACACCTGTGTTGTACTGTAGTCATTAGTAAGAACATGTCTACCATCTTATTATTAATTAATACCGAGTGATAAATTTTTCATCATTACATAGATTTTGGTATTCAGTTTATTCAAAACAATTTACTCCTTTCATGAAAAAAAAAATAAAACTTGTTAACATTTATGTTGTACCAAAAATATTTAGCCTTCAAATTAAAAGTTTTCCATTAATGTTCTTATGAAAGCTCTTGTGATAAAACTGTACTCACTTAATGCTTTATAATAACCAGATACTATATGCATATTGTAGTACAGTGATATCCTCGTGAGCCGGAACAATTGGTGTTGGGCACTTCCGCGAGAATGAGAGATTTCCGGGTAACGAGATGACTCTCAAAGCCAGAAAAAAAAATCCCTCATCCCCGGAATTTTCCGGGTATCGGGAAAATTTTCTCTGAATTTTCAGGAAAATGAGCCCCTCGGAAAATCGTCCCCAAAGCCGGAATTTTCCGGAAAATTCCGGCTCTGGGAACGATTTTCTGGGAAAATTTCAATTCCGGCTATTGGAGAGTTCCGGGTTTGAGGGATTCTGGCTAATAGAGACATTACTGTACTGTACTGCTATGTCTTTACATTCCCATAGCACATAACTGTACAGTATACAGTATGTTGTTTACTGTACTGTATAGTACAGTATAGGAGCAAGCTGGAATGAGGTAGTTATATCCCTCTGAAATCATACTTCATAATTACAAGTATAATCTCCACTTTTTTTTGTGAAGTCTTCCCAATTTTAAACCAGAAAAAAATTAAATTAAAGAAAACAATAAAGATTTAAGAAACAGAAGACCGACTGACAATAATATAGTCACCTCAGAGAGCGTGATCGTGGTCGATTCATTGGCGAACGGCGGCCATCTTCATCCAGAGAAGGGTTACTCTCCCCCGAGGAAAAATGGCGGTGGGCATGACGGACTTCATCTATGGCTGGAGAACCTACATTTGATGGGGTTCCAGCACCGACCGATCCACTACCACCGCTGGCTCCGGCTTGTCCTCCCCCTATCTGGTGAAGTCTCTCTTGGCTTGAACACTGTGACTGTAACACAACAAATACCGGTGTAACTTTATTTCATACACATGATCCCCCGATTCTTAACATCCAGCAGCTACTGTACTGGGTTATCTAAGCCCCTCACCAGGATGTTAGTCCAGGCAAGGGTAGTCCCAGCATCAGCAAGTGTACCTGACAGTATATAGTGCAGTAGCTACTCATTTTATTATGTGCACAAAGGTTAGTGAATAAGGAAGAAAGAAAGTTCACACTGTCATGTCTTCTTCACAAACAGGTAAATATACAGCACGATAACCCTCCGGTGTAAGTTGTGGTGCAGCTGATTATTGTTTGTTTGCTGGGTTTGATTATCAGTGTATATACAGTATAAGGTAAGTGTCATTATGCCATTACAACAGATCATTAGAATCTATGTCCATGAAAATGTATAAAATACTCTTTAAAACATTCTGGTTAATGTCTCCCATTTCTATAAGACAAGTGTGTAACTGCTGTCTCTTAATAAAAATACTAGACAACTGACTGATGGTAATGTTTAAGATGACCACCACTTAATTTCCTGATAATTTTAATAGGGTGTATGTAGATGTTTCTTTTAATATATAAAATGCAAAACTCCATTTACAATTTTGGTGTCCTGACTAAAGCATTTATCTTTCCTTGGTCGACAAAGGTACTGTACTGTACTGTATGTCATTATTTCAGGTAGTTTGCCTCCCACACACATCAATGTAGCTGTAGAGTGCTGGATCACTCAGTATCAGTGATGTGGTTGATGAGTGTGGCCTGTTTGCCCTTCTCTAATGAGGAGCTCTTCCCTCATATGCATAATGTAGAACTAAAAAATCATATCCCACCATTATTAAATTAAAACAATGAGTCTTGAGTCATTCTAAGATTCAAATAAGACAAAACTGACATTACTTCTTCACCAATATAAAAATAACAATCATTACCATTACAGTATATTAGGATTTTTCTTCCATTTTATTATTTATATCAAACTGTAGTCATTAGGATACTGTACTGTACTGCAGTAAGGTTTTATACAAATGAAACACTCATGAGGGAAAAATAAAGCAGAAAAGAGCCACGACTCCCAACTGTACACTCACGGAAACATTAGATGATCCAGGAGTGGTGCCATAGCCGGAGGAAGGGAGGGACGCCACAGACCACCGGCGACCATCCCTGCTCTTCACTGGAGCAAATGCAAAGTGTTGAAGTGGAGACATGTTGCGTGGGGATTCCATGGGACTACCTGATGGACAGAGAGTTGGATATTACAATACTGCACTGGCTACTACTGGCCTAAGGTTCCAAATTAAATTCATAGTTGCTAGAACACATTTAATATAGTTTTTAATTTCTCAAACATCGATAATTCCTTTACTGTACTTATTATTGATACACCATAGATACTAAAACAACCCCAGCATAACAACAACACACGGCTTTAACTCTGGTGCGCCACAACACTACAGTACTGTAATTAACTCCACGACCTTGAAGTTCAACTTATACTAAGCTTATCATAATTAAGTATGTCAGACAGAGATGTACATTCACATGAAACTAAATACTCTACCAAGTAATTTTCCCCGAGAGATGACATTTACGCATCAGGTCAGAGATTAAATTCATTAATAATAAGTAACAATTTGACCAACGAGACTTCATCAAATATGGTTGGTTACGTACAGTAGTAACTTACACCACAGTTTATTGGTCTAAAGGTAAAGAAAAACCATCAAAATAATAAAACACGAAACATCACCCGGGTTAAAATGACATTACAGAGACTTGAAGTGTCGTCAGAGAGCATTAGGGATCACCAAACCCACCAAGAGAAATTGAAACAACATGAAATACACCTACTGTACTGTACCATCTTTAGCTTAAACCCACCATAAACAACAGAATACACGGTGGGTTAGCTACACCAACAACTATGAACTACTCTAGACAGTACAGTACAAAGTAAAAAAGGCCTCCATAATAAAAAATCACTAAGATCAGTTCAACTATTATAAATCAGGTACAATATATATATATACACGGGTACAGTACTAAGAGTTAAAGGGACTGGCACAAAATACCTGACCAATAAAAATAACTCGACCTATTTCTGGTTAACTTACCAATAAGGACAAAGTGAGCTATCAATGGCTTAGCTGGACAAACATTAGCTAACATCTACAGTATACTGGCACTTTACACACTGATAGTACTGTAGTGTGCATCTGTGGTGTAATGGTCAGCATGCTCACCTCGCAAGCGAGTGGACCCGGGTTTGATCCCCGGGCAGGGTGAAACTATGGGCAAGTTTCTTATGTCATTTGCCTCTGTCTACCCAGCAGTAATTGGGAACCTGGATGTTAATCGATTTGTGTTCCCGGGTAATGGTTACCCAGTGCAGTTGGCGAGTTGTCCGGTCTTTTCGGACTATTCCTTGACACTGGGTCATGTAGCTCGTTAATTTAGGGTGTGGTTGTTGTGTTGGCGACAGCTTCTACACCTTAAACAAATTCACGCCGAGGTGGCCCTTGGGCTGGCCGTCCTTGTTACATGTTGGGCAATCATTACGTACGGTATGTCATGATATAAAACTGTATCAAATCAAATTATCAAAAGTAATATAGAAAAAGTTGTTGAACATCAAGGTGGAACATTTACTGAAAGAGAGGAATGATCTGGCAGGTAAATTGTACACTAACGCCACCAGGGAACGGTTTATGTAGTGGTCACGGCCATCGACCTTTTTCTTCTTTTTTCCCATCCGCCCAGGTCGACCTCGATGGCCATATAATTGCGATTTCGCTTTTGAGCAATAAGGGCGGTGGCTTACTGCTGGCCATAAGCACTAGGCACTGTACCATAAATAGCTACAATATTTCCTAAGAGGGAAAAACTTGTCAAAGGCCCCAAGGAAACTAAACACATTATCAAGATGGGTATGTTAAGTAGGTACTGTACTACAATATGGGCATACTAAGTGGGTACTGTACTACAATATGGGCATACTAAGTGGGTACTGTACTACAATATGGGCATACTAAGTGGGTACTGTACTACAATATGGGCATACTAAGTGGGTACTGTACTACAATATAGGCATACTAAGAGGGTACTGTACTACAATATGGGCATACTAAGTGGGTACTGTACTACAATATAGGCATACTAAGAGGGTACTGTACTACAATATAGGCATACTAAGTGGGTACTGTACTACAATATGGGCATACTAAGTGGGTACTGTACTACAATATAGGCATACTAAGAGGGTACTGTACTACAATATGGGCATACTAAGTGGGTACTGACTACAATATGGGCATACTAAGTGGGTACTGTACTACAAAAGGTACTCTGGGCTATTTCACAAGTACAGTATTATTCTACGTCAATCATATGAGACGACCAGTACTGTATGTAACTCCGACTTAAGTACTATAGTGTAAATCAACTAAAAACACATTTCAGATTATTTGAGATTAAAAACAACGTTTGGTTAACATTCATTATATTTACCTACTCCAACATTCACCACCTCCACCAACATTAATAACAACATTCACCACCACCACCAACATTTACAATTACAGAAACAAAACATTACATAAATAAAATCATAATTGATTAAGGGAAACGATAATTACACTGTACTGTACACTAATGAGTGACGCCATATATAAAGGTGGGGGTTGCTATTGGCAATAACCATCCCTTCTATAATGGGGAGGGGAGGGAATGGGGAGGGGAGGGAATGGGGGCGAGGCTAAATTGGCCCATTTGTCCCCCTTCTCTATGGTAATCAACATGGGATTACCAAAACCACCTCAATCACTATCACCATCACCACCACTATCATCTACAATTCTACATCATCATCACCCTCATCACTATCATCTACATCTACACCATCACTATCACCAACACCATCATCACTATCATCTACACCATCATCACTATCATCTACACCATCATCACTATCATCTACACCATCATCACTATCATCTACACCATCATTACTATCACCAACACCATCATCACTATCATATACACCACCACTATCACCAACACCATCATCAATATCATCTACACCATCATCACTATCATCTACACCATCATCACTATCATCTACACCATCATCACTATACACCATCACATCATCACTATCATATACACCATCATCACTATCATACACCATCATCACTCCTCCATCAACCACGCCATCTATTGTCACTACCTACCCACCACCACGAGCAACGCCATCTAGGGATGAGACACGAGTATGACTCGTCTTAGTTACCACTCCGAGGTTTCCCTTCTCCATATCCTGGGTTGCGTCACCTCCTCAGTCTTCTTTGTCAGCTCCAATTCGAGGAGAGGGACTTGGCTCTGGGAAGTGACCACAGGATCATCTATCCTCTAAACCTACGTGCAGTGACTACCTACCGTCTTCTACAATACTCAGCCTTACTCGTCAGCCATCTCAGCTCCTCACTTAAGTACATGTATCTTGTATTACCTCCCCCACGTCCACTTGCTTCAAAATTGTTTATGTTGTATTAATATGTATATACTGTTAATGTTTAGGTTAAGTTTGGTTAAGGGTAATTTATAAGCTGAATATTTTGTTAAGGGATTTATGGTACTCTATTATATACAACGAAAACTCGCATCCTTTGTCTACCCTTTTATAGTCCGATTGTCTTTGTTTTTTTTTTTTTTGTTGTTACCTGTTGGGATCTGGGTAGACATAACTATATTCTAAATCCCCAACTCAGAACAAATATCCAAGATTGCAGGTTCGTCCTGTACACATTTGTTCTGGTTGGGGATTTAGAATATAGTTATCATCTACAGATCCCCAACTCAACAACATCATCACCATCATCACTATCATCTAGAGTTTTAGTGAAAGAAGAAAACTACATCAAGGAGACAGAAATAATCCTACAATAAAAACTTTGTAAATATATATAACACCTGTACACAGAACTGAGTAAGGTAAGGGAAGGTAAGGTAAGGTAAGGGAAGGTAAGGTGAGGTGAGGTAAGGTAAGGTGAGGTTAGGTTAGGTAAGGTTAGGTTGAAATTTGATTGAGACGGGAGTGAGAAGGAGTTATGCTTACTGAGAGGGAGGTGAGAGGGAGTTATGGTGACTGAGAGGGACTTAAACAGACTGAGACGAGAAGCAAAAGGGACTTAAAACATTGAGAGTAAAATGAGAGGTACATACAAACAGAGAGAGGGAGAGAGAGAGAGGAGAGTGGGAAGTACTTACTCTGACTAAGAGGGGAATGGCATCGCGGCAGTGTAGGGGACGTGGTGGCTATGAAACTTTTCCTCTGGCCAGGGACACGGTTGCCTCGCCGGACAAGACTCAACTCCTTCTGCAAAATGAACCAAAAAAAAAACCCATATTACATCGCGTGTCTCATATTTATAATGCAAATAAAAAATCCGACCATTATTTATAAGAATAGTCTTTTAATTAATGTAATATATATCTGGTAACTGATACATGTATTTACAATCTATTAAAGGATACTCTCACATTTAATAATTATACATACTGGTAAAATGTTGCCAAAGAAAATGGTCACTGATGCCGTCAAAGAAAATTTTAGTCGGATAAATAATATACTCGTAGGTAAATAAATAAAACATATTTAGTCTTAAGTGCATTTCTTCAGTGCACAATATTTCCAGTGTGGTGTCATCCACCCACGACCACGCACAGACAAGAGGCAGATACTGTATACCTGATAGCTGTCTCTATGATCATTAAACCTTTCCCTGACAGTCGTGTATGTGTGTGTGTAAACCAGGAACTCGAAACCTGACACCTGAACGAGGTAGTTGTCTGTGGTACCATTGACACTAATAGGAGACTACTGGCACCATTAAGGGACCATTGGCACTATCATGAGACCACCGGCATTCTCATCCAGTGTTGGGCAGGTGCGTCATGGGTGGACGTGGTCAGGAATCACCTTCAACTGTCAGTAGCCGCCCCCAGGCAGCCCCAAACACCATGACCACGTCCTTCCTCTACGCTAGTCTCAACTTCCGGTGGCCGTGGTACTGTCGCGCGCTCTCTCACACACACACATTGTCTTTCCTCCCTCTCTCTCACTTTCCTCTCTCTCTTTTCTCCTCTAACTCTTCCCCCCTTCTCTCTCACCCCCCCTCCCCTTCACCCCCTCTTTCAATGACCAGGGCTAAAGCGTGGGAGACTCCGCTTAACCACACACCTGTGAAGGCCTTTAGTGTTTGAGGGGGTGAGGTCATTACGGCTCAGCATGCTTATTACTACCACTACTAACCTACCCAACCTACCTATACTTAACCTAACCTACCCAACCTACCTATCTAACCTACCTACCTACCTACTTACCTTACCTTACCTAACCAACCTACCTACCTACCTACCCTACCACTCGTTCAGGTGATCGTGTACTTGTGTGGTGGTTGTGGTACTGGTGGTTGTGTGGTGATTGTGGTACAGGGGAGAGGGGTGGGTGTTAGAAGATGTTTATCATGTCTCGTGAATAAAGATAATGTTAACTGGAGGAGATGGTTGAGATAATGACGTTCTTGATTGATTGATGCGATGGAGTGTTGGAGATACAAGGCAGATCCCCTTCCGTGTGTGAGCGAGAATGTGGTGTACGTGTAGGAAGCGAGGAGAGTCGTCCAGCCTTCACCATCACAGCACCACTTTCATGATGGGGTTTTTAAGCACTGTGAGACAATCCCCTCAGGCTGTGGGATTGAGGGGGGGGGGGGCTGTGGGGGTGAGGGGGCTGTCGATAGAGGGTCTGGCAACTCCTCCCCAACACACACACACACACACTAAAAAAACACCTCCATTGTATACACTACACAAGGTCAGGGAAGAGACTGTTTTTAATAGATCATAAAAACACTCTTCTGAATTCCTGTCAACACCACACACCATCAACACCACACACCATCAACACCACAGGAACACACAGACCCAATAGCTCTCACTCGATTGTGTATTAGTAAAACACTCATCTCGCCTCTCGACGTCTAAGGCCAGAATGCAATCAACAAAAACTATTTCAGAATTATAAGGCGGGTGAGGCCTAACTTCCTCTACGTCCATCATACAACTTTCACACCAGACTCATTCACTATCTCTGCCCCCTACAGCTGCCTTACTCACCCCTGTAGAACCTTAAAGAGAAGTTCTGTAGTGGATGTACTGTATTAGGTGAGCTGGCAACATAAGATTAAATAGCCAAGTGAGGGAGCTGATAACACTAACACACACACACACACACACACACACACACACACACACACACACACACACACCTATCTCTGTGTCACCACTGCATTGGCCTAACACCAGCAGCCATTTCCCAACCATTCACACAACGCAGTCATTCATATTCCTCCTCGCGGCCTTGAGATATTTGCTGTGAACTTTTCCCCTAATCACCACACAGACAAGAGTTTCCCCTTCCGCCTGTCACCGTGCGCCAACACCTCCCTCGTTCACTCACCACATTAGAGGATGTTTACAATCTGGTTAATAATGACCTCAAGATCTGTGGTAATAATGTTGACGTGCAGGCCACTAGTGACGCCATTATCACCTACCAGGGTACTGTGGAGAGATGGCGACATCCATTGTGACGTCATGGCGGTACCTGGGATCATCATACCACTGTCTAGGGCCCTTCCTCCTCTCTTTTCCTCTCCCTCTCTTCCCCACTCTCTCACTCGCCCACTCTTTCTCTCTAACAGCCCCCATAATGCTCTCTCTCTCTCTCTCTCTGGTACGTTCTCACATCTCCAGACAGGGGGGGTGGTGGACGGTGAGGTGTGTGGCAGGTGAGGCGAGTCACTATGGTCACTTGGGTCTCCAGTCCTGATGGTCACCAATCTTAATGGAAGCCAACAGTAATGGGTAAGTCAGGTTAGTCCGGGGTCTATTATGACTTGACCTATACCCGCTGTGATAACCCAGCCGTGTAGACCCGATCCTTCCCATCACCTCTTATTAGGGACAATATTATAGGGAACTTCCCCCATTACACCTAATTAACCCACAGGCTGCCGCGTCTGAGGTAGTGGGCTCCTGTGGTGATGACTTATGGTGCAAGACCTGAGGATGACGATGACGACGGGGGTCCAGTGCTGCAGACAACCGTGAGGAGGTGGGCGTCAACAACTGTGAGGGTGCAGTAGTGGAAAAGAAAGCAGTGAGTGTGGTGCTGGTGAGTGCGACAAGTGTGAAATAAAGTGCGTCATGCAAGTGTGTGCAGGTGTGGCGGCAGCGGCTGGTGAGGCGCCTCCAGCTGCTGGCTGAGGGTGGGTGTACCTTGAAGTGCATTAAGGAGGTGACGGGTAGGGGGAGGTGTAGCGCCGCACGGGAGGCCGCCTGTCGTAGCGTGGAGTCGGATACTGAGCGAGACATGCCGCGGCCGCCCACGCCCGTCACTAGCGACTCTGCGTCAGGGGCACGGGGGGGCCGAAGGGGCGGGAGCTGATCGTCGGCCTCCCCCGTCACCCCCGCCGCCTCGCCCGGCACTGACCCTGACCTCACCAAGGGCGAGGGCCCATGCGGCAGTGTGGGCGTATGGGCGGCCATAGGCGTGGCGGGGGTGGAGCTGGCGTGCTGCTGGTGGTGGTGGTAGTGGTGCCAGGTGCCCCCCATGCAGTAGGCGCGAATGGGCGGAGGTCCCAGCACTGGGGTGGGTGCCGGGGAGGGCCGGCCGCCCACCACCATCACCGTAAGGGGGGCCGCCGCGCCATGAAGGGGGCCTGCAGAAGCCATACATTAGGGTGGGCAAGCTGAAGGCCACCCACACCCACGCTGCCGACACCAGTTCATAGTCCGCACGCTAACAAATGTCCAAGAGGCACAGACAATTACCTTAATACGGGCAGATGGTTACCTCGAGTGCCAGCCGTGTACTGACGCTAGACTGTGTGTGTGCAAACGGCTCCACACAAAAGCCAAGATGTGAAGTCTAAGTAAAACGCTTGTCAAGTCGTGCGTGAAGACCGTGGCATCACCCTCTACATAAAACACACACACACACACACACACACACACACACACACACACACACCTTACATAATAAATATCACTGTTTAAAGTTATGTCACAGCCCAAATACAAATGATCATTTCATCATCCGTAACAAAATATGCTAAGGTATTCATTAAAATCAAAGCACAACAAAGCTCCTGTACAAAACATCACCAACATTATTATCCAACAGTGTTTACATTGTTTCAATATTAAAAATCATTATTATCTTCAAAATATTCATAAACAACACTAAGTTCAGGGTTTAGGTACGAATATTCAGAAGTATTAATAGAAGTACAAGCTTACGTACAAGTACAGGTTTTCTCAAGTGCTAGTACAGGTTTAGGTTTAAGTACGGAGAAATACAAGTACAAGTAATGGTACAGTGTTAGGTGGATGTACAGTATTTTGAGCTGGTGGACGGTGTTGGGAGGCGGTGGGGGGAGGCTGCAGCTGGGTGAGCGGCGGCAGGGTAAAGGGCCAGCTGGCAGGAGGCAGGGGAAGGGGTGAGACCAGCCAGGACCCGCCGCCTAGGTTATGGCGACGCAGAAGTAGACCAACCACACCAAGATGGCCGGGCATGGTGGCGGGTCTGGGACACTACTCAAGGGTGCATAGGGAGGAAGGGATGGTTGAGAGAAGGGGTGGAAGGCAGGGAGAGAAGGATGGAAGGAGGACAGGGAACAACACCTACTACTGGGGAGACAATAACGACGCCACGACCTCTGTCTCACAGCGAGGACACTATACGACTACAGTGCGCGACGCATACACGGAGGATGCCAAGGCGGGGAGTGTGGGCGTGGGCGTGACTGGTTGAGGAGTAAGGGGCAGGTGGACGTGACTGGCGAGTGACAAGGGGAGAGGGGTGAGTGGGTGAGGGTGGACAGAGGGGTGAGGGTGGGCCTGGTATCTCGTGGTATGTCTTACCTTGTATCGCCCACATGTCTTTGGACGAAGCCTCACCCCCAATTCCAGGGTGCGGGTGATGGAGGACGGCACCACGGGCGTGAACACGTGGATCATGTCACAGATCACACACATGGTCACGGTCGCCTCACCAAACTCTCTACACGGCGGACACTTGGGCTACAGTACGTCGCCACTAATACACCATCGTTGCTTCCAGTCACCCCCTTAGTTTCCTGGTCATGGGCTGTAACACACGACACTTTTCACACTGTCTCTCTGTCCTTTTCCCAGGCTCCAAGATGCGGGTAATACTTCCTAGATCCAAGTTTAAATATTTCATCCGTGAGTGATAGTCTACTTACAAGACACAACATGGTATGGGCACAATGAGGTGTAGTAAAGGCAGGAGAGTTATCACACCGTAACGGGTAAGTGTGGTGAACAGACGGAAGTGAACTGTGATAAGGGGGACACGGGGAGATTTGCTTATCCCAGTTAACGATTCCACTATCGTGCTAATACTGGCAGTGATGTTTGTGTTTTAAGTTAGAATCATCCAATTCTGCCATTGTATATGAGATACTAGCCCGTAAGACACTTAAGTCTAGGACCCCAGTAGTTGATGAACCTATGGTTTCAGAGTCCCCAGCTTAGTGTTTATACATATGTTTGTAACATGGTTAGGCTTATGTATAGGATGTTTATCTGCGAGTTTAGTGTAGTCCTCGCGGAACTCGGATGGTAGGTGACCGAGCGATGTAATGCCCCGTTTCATAAACAGAAGAATTATATAGATGGGTTAATTACATTTGATTTATATACTGATTCATCCCCTGTAACTTTCCACCAGCTACGAGGTGACATGTTCAGTGCACGTGATAGGGTGTGCCCACGGGAAGCTGCGTCATACTATGCTGAGTTAAGGCATTTAGTAGCCGGCTCCCTGGCCACCTAAAGCGGGCAGTAGGTTGATATCCTTGACTAGAGGAAGAAGTTATTTGAGAGCCATCGTGGATGGTTCCGTCTTCCGTCGAGGGAGGACGACGTGCCTATTCCGTTCTCCCTCGATGGGTCACTACTCATAGACTCTCCCTCAACGACTCATATAGGAAAGACGTCTTTAAGCAGGTCTATTTACATAGCCTCCGTCCTTCTCTTAACACTCATAGTTACAGTGATAAGTTACGGTTGATTTACACTTTGGAATTGTCTTAGTTGTTCCTGAATAAATGGATAAGACAACTTGGGTTTTGCTACTAAGGCCCAATAAAATATAAACGTTCCAGCCTAGTTAACTTCGACAGAACCTACAGTTAACGGGCGATGACAAGGAGAAAAATGACTGGTATGTGTGAGAGGCATGAGGGGGAAGCACACGATGGTCAGACGAAGGTACACTCACGCGCCATAGTTTCGACGCACCCTTTACCCCTACTCCTGACTAGATGGAAGTCGTAGCCTTGGCTTCATGCCGAACGTCCCCTCCCCCACCCATCGTTCAGTGGTGCAATGTGGTAGCTCGAAGCTTCGCTGGATTGTATGAATAACAGTTCATGATGTAATATTTGAGAGAATATATACACGATACAGGTTATTTTAGTGACTTCACAACACTATATTTATCATCACTATACTTAACATCACTATACAAGAGGGAGTGTTCGGTTTGCAGCCCTGACTACGACTTCCCTCGAGTCAGGAGTAGGGTGCATCGAAACTATGGCCCGTGAGTGTACCGAGCGTGTGTACGGTATATATAGTAATCATTCACAGGTGTGGAGTGTCGGGGGTGACAACGAAATTTCTCATGGTTCAAATTCCCTGCTGGATGGAAAACTTTGTGATGATAAATGAAGGAATTTAAAGAAGAAAAAAATGTTGCCAGATTTGCGTGTGAGAACAAGTGTGGTGGTGGTGGTGTACCGGTCTTGTTGAATGACCCACGCCCAGGGGCAACACAAGTCTCTACTCTCGTACCCTGGGCAGCAACACCCTCACCTCACCACTCCTCTCCTCCAGTGCCCCACCACCACAACACCCACTACCACCACTACACCCACTACCATCACTACACCCACCATCTGTTCCGATCAGCATCCTAGCACCAGTCCATTACCCACTATCCCTGGACGACCTTTCTCTACCTCATCCCACCAAGAGAACTCCAAAAGGTCAGAAAAACGACTCAAAGCTTCCACATCACCGCCATGATCTGTAACGCACCACCACACACCCAGCCAACCACCACCACCACACGACCAACCAACCACCACCACCACCACACACCCAACCAACCACAACCTACTGACGGTACACATAATCGATGAGTTCACTTTTGCTGTGACCTAAAACCTTTCAAAATTACCTTGTATAAAAAAAAAAAATCCGCGTTGGTCAATATTAACTTGTGCTTCTCAAGGTAGAGTAAATATGGATATGCCTCACTTAACAAAACACACACACACGGCTACTAGGAGTATCCCTCGATCTAACTCAGCCACGTCGCCAAATGGGATAATCTTTAATCTGAGTTTAAATGATGGACGTGTGAAGGTGAGGGAGGGGAGGGAGGAAGAGAGGGAGGTGAGGTGAGGGATTTTGAGGGAGAGGTGTGAGGGATTTTGTGGGGAGAGAGGCGAGGGATTTTGAGGGAGAGAGGTGAGGAAGGGTAAGGGAGAGGCAGGTGAGGGAGTGAAGGAATGGTGAATGCTTTATTCCATATACTACTACTACCACCACCACCATTACATTTAGCTACCACTACCTACCACCACCACTTAACCCACTACCTACCACCACCACTTGACCCACTAGCCACCACTACCACTTGACCCACTAGCCACCACCACCACTTGACCCACTAGCCACCACCACCACTTGACCCACTAGCCACCACTGCCACTTGACCCACTACCTACCACCACCACTTGACCCACTAGCCACCACTACCACTTGACCCACTAGCCACCACTACCACTATGCCGAATCACTGGATAAAGGCGCACCTCCAACATCCACCTTCCGAGAGTTTACACGCACCATTAGGCCTGAGTATGGCGGACAGACCTTGATGGCGCCTCTAATACCCAACAACCCCCCAACCTCATGCCCATTCAAGGTCAGGCTAACGTCTTAATGGCCCTAAACATAAATTAGCCCCAAGATAATAACAACGTCGACTTGGTTACTTCACACCCCCTTCCGCGCTCTGTTTCATGGCCGATGTGGTTTTTTTAATTCCAGTTTCAAAAAAAAAATAAAATAAAAATGTTCCACTTATTTTTTCCCCCAAGGATTAGTTAAGTGAGTTTTTTGATCAAGTTTCTGGCCATTGTCTTCGGTCATTCAGTCAGTCTACCACACAAGCTACCACTAGACTAACATCATCATGAACACAAGGTCTCCCAACACCACCACCACCACCACCCTCCCCCCTCATTGACCCTAATTCCAGGTTATGTTTTAGGTGGACTTCCTCTTGCCGTGTAACACAACGAGCGACACGGGCACCCCACCCTATATACGATCACTTCCTCCCTGTGTTTTATAACTCTACACACACACACATCCCAACGCTCCCATAACTGCACCACTACACACCACTACCACGTTTATACACACAAGTTTGAACGCATACATAAACTGTACCCCCCCCCCTTCCCCCTCCCGTCCATTACTCTGCCCTTCCACATGGTTGAGGGAAGGGAAGGGGAAAATTCTCACTAATATGGCCACCGCCTAACTTTCAGTAGCGATAATTTATACAAGCACCAATACCCCCGCTACATGCAACACGTTAGAACGCCTCTCTTACCCACAGC